TGGTAAAAAAGTTGAAGAGATATCATTAGAAATAAATGGAGAAGCAGTTACAGATCAAAAAAAAATTGTAAACACATTCAATAGCTATTTTGTTAAAGTAGGTAAAGACATAGTTGAAAGTATAGAAAGGGAAGGAAACACAAACAATTTAAATTTTGAAGAGGTGTATTGTAACCAAAGTATATACCTAGAACACACGGATGAAAAAGAAGTAGGTACTGGAGGTGATGACAGAAATGAACCTAAATTCAGCAGTTGGCATTGACGAAATAAGTGTAAAAAACCTTATTTCTATTAAGCAAATCGTACTACCAATATTAGTATTTTTAATAAATAAAACTTTTGACAGCGGTAAATATCCAGATGTTTTAAAAGTCTCTAGAGTAGTACCAATCCACAAATCAGGCCCAAAAAACAAAATAGAAAACTATAGACCCATTAGTGTTATAAGTGTCTTATCAAAAATAATTGAAATGATCATCAAAAAAAGAATAACATGTTTCATTGATAAATATATAAAGCCAGACAAATACCAATACGGATTTCAACCCAAAAGTAACACTCAAAGTGCCTCAATTGACTTAATCAATCACATAACAACAGAACTTGACAATAAAAAAATAATAATAACAGTATTTATTGATCTCCAAAAGGCCTTTGATGTTGTAGACCACAGGATACTTTTAAGTAAATGTGAAACAATGGGCTTAAGGGGTAAAATATATGATCTTCTAAACAGTTATCTAGGGAATAGAGTACAATATATCTCGCTAGATAACATATCTAGTGAAATGCTAACAAATAATTGTGGAGTACCTCAAGGTTCTGTTCTGGGACCCTTATTGTACACACTTCATGTTTTAAGCTTAAGGCAGGCACAACTATCTGGAAAATACTATACATTTGCAGATGATACAGTATTGGTATATAGTGGTACAAACACTGAAATTTTAAAGGAGACAGTAAATAACGATTTGAATACCTATACACAATGGTTAAAGAAAAATAAACTCAAAATCAATACTAAAAAAACGAAGTACATGTTGTTCCACCAAAAAAATATACTAGTCAAAGAGATTACTATAAACATAAATGGAGAACTGATTAACAAAACTGACAACATAAAATACCTAGGCCTCGTAATAGATGATAAATTGAACTGGCAAAAACATATCGACCACCTCACATCCAAAATTGTGCCGATGATTGGTGCGCTCTTCAGATGTAAGGAATATCTGGACAACCGAAATCGTTTCCTAATTTATAATGCCTACTTCCTCTCAAACCTTAGATACCTAATTATAATCTGGGGAATATGCTCCATCACTAAATTAAAACAAATTCAAATAATTCAAAACAAAATAATAAAAATACTTTTCAACTATCAATATCGTACACCAACAGAAACTATTTACAAAGAAACAAAAATAGTACCTATTAAGAAAATTCTGAAAATGGAGCAAAGCAAGTATATATATAAAGTAAAAACAAACCAACAAAAAAGTAACACTCCATTCAATTATATAAATAATATTCACCACCATGAAACAAGACAGCTGATTAACAATAACCTCTATTTACCAAACGTAAGATCCAACATAGCCTTAAATAATCCAATTAACCGAAGTGTAGAAACATACAATAACATCCCTATAAACATAAGGAATATAGACAATTACAAACATTTCAACGAAGAACTTAAAAGATATATCCTAGATAACCAATGAATTTAACTAACAGAATATACTTACCACAATACCGCATTTAAAGAAAACTGTACTCCGATACCAGCATTCTCTTTGCTGATTAGGAGTTTTTCATCATCCCTATTATAGATGTATGTACTATTTCAAACTGTGAAAATTGTATTATAATACTATCAAACACTGAGCTACTGTTATATTGTAACTTGTATTTATTTTGGATTGTAAAATTTGTATTTCTTGATTTTTTTTGTACTTATGTATATTGTAGTGTAATGAAGAGTACTGTGCTAATAAAGTTTGATGATATTAAACAAAAAAACAAAAATTTTATTCCATTTGATAGTCGTCTGGATTTTTATGCCTGTGGAACGGGCCAGTGTATATTCACAGGTTTTTACTTTATTCATGTACCTATTTATTTGTTTGATACATATTTCCATGCACCCATGTATGTGGATTCACATATTTCAATATTTTCATTGTTTTGAAGCAATAATTTCACTTACCTATTGAAAACTGATGCATCTTAATGACTCGGCATAGGTATTAGGAATAATACAATATGGCATAATTAATTTATACCACGAATACCGATCTGTATGTCCTGAAAAATTCGCTGCAAAACAATCTTTATGGATTTGTGGAAAGAGTTCAACAAAACAATCGACATAATGATAACACTGTTGGATCAACTTCATTTCCTAAAATATTACAATGATGAACCCAAAAATATACAGTCAACATGAAACATGCAAATCACAACAAATTCTTGAAGAAGCTCAATTCTCAAGAGACGGTGTATACAATTTAAGAAATTGTCATGTCTGCGCAGAAGAAAATCCTTTTACTATTGGTGAATGGAATGAAATGAGTTGTGAAATTGCAGCTTCAGAAATTCAGTAGTAAAATAGCACGCGGAAATATAAAAAGTACACAAATCCATTCAACATTTTGTGCTCTCTTCAGATATTATGTAAGCGGATTTTGTAAATTCAAACATATAAGGTATCTTTTCGAGGACCCAATAATATGTAAAATTTTTGTTAGTCCGCACCTGGAACTTTTTTCTGATGGATACACAAGTCGCTAGGGTAGCAGTGGGAAAGCACGTCTACCAAATTTGAAAAAAATATACCAGGTGGTTCGTATGCTATGAGCCTTCAAAGAAATGACCAGAATTGATAAAACACCCTACATCTCGATAGTGAAACATGTAAGACCCATTAAATATGGTATATTCAGAACAACTTTGGTCACCTTTATCCACCGTTAAAGTATTTCCGTTTCCCAACGGAACACCCTGTATATGGCAAAAAAAATCCACACTCCCTAGAACTACTGGAGGGGGAGTAATTTAGAACTTCGGCCTAGGGCGTAAACAGTTGCTAATCTGGACCTAATTATGCTCAATCGTAGTTTCATTATTACCTACTGAATTCACATCAACGACTGTTTTTAGTTGTTGAAAATTGAGTAAGCCAATGGATGATTAACTCGATAGTTGTAGATAAATAGTGTTAACATTATCCCATTGATGTAATTGAGGTGCAATTTAAAAATGAGATCTTGGTTTGAATAAACTCTTGGGGACACTAACCCGCCCAGGTTTATATTCACAGGGTACACTCACTCAAGGTCCGAGCGCGACTATTAATTCTTGGATGAACTTTTCTTTCACAAAGGGTTAGGTATTTTTCACTACAATGATTGTATACTTAATATTCCGGGTGATTCGGAAACAATTTACCCCCCTGTATCTTCGTTGCTATTCAGATATCAAAAGAAATATGACACTTCCGGTTTAGCCGGAAGTGCATCAATTGTTATTTCAAATACAAAGTATTTTTTTTTCTGGATATTACGATTTATTTTACAAATACAGGGTGGTTCAAGATTCAGCATTCTGATCACTCTTGTATCTGTTCCAATTGAATATCAGTAGATAGTAAATCAAAAGTTGGGATAGGGACATGAAAGCCATTTTGACCAATAATGAATAGTTTCGACGCAAAAAAATCCTAAAGTTGAAAAATATGGATTTTGAACACCCCCTATATCTCTGTAATCATTTTCGCTAGACCCCAAGTGTGATGCAATGATGAAATCAGCTCACAAAGGAGAATGCGAAAATACAATGAAATACAGGGTGTCCCATAAGAAAAAGTATAACTTTAATACGCCACGCATCATGATCCTAGATCATCTCTGAAATTTGTATTCATCTATCTCGAATAGTAAAGCAGATATCTCACTTTATCACACTAATGACTCACCCTGTATGTTGATGGCTTTTGTTGTGCTACAGTTCCGAAAAATGAGTCAATAATACCGTCTCCGAGAAAGAACTGCAAGTCCTTTTATCTTCCATTCGACTTCGCAGTTACGTATATTACTAAAGAACCACTAAATTCGCAATTTTTTGAAATCAAATCACAGAATTAGACTGACAGAAGTGACAGCAGATATTTGAATACTTCAAAAGAATGATAAAGATGCCTACAACGCAGGTGTCCCTACTGTTGAAAAATTAAAATTTCACCTCGACAATTTTCAGATTTCAAAATAATGTAATATCTTCTCAATATTGATTCGTTCTTTCTTCTGTCATAGAAAAAAATAGTGTATTATAATACACGGGAAAAATATTAGATTATAGCTCACGGTTTTTTGTCTCCCTCCGCTACGTAGGGAGACAACACAACCTGGAGCTAGAATCTTCTACTTTTCTCCCTTCTATAATAAATAACTATTAATGTCATATTTCAATAAGTTTAGAAGCATCCGTTGCAATCTAGCAGATACTTTTTCGTTAGTCGAGTCGCTACGCATCGGGAGACAACACAACCTGGAGCTAAAATCTACATCTTTTTTCCCTTGTATAATAAATAACTATTTGCATCCCCCTCGTAACGGAATATTTTCATGAAAGTTTGCTATAGATAATGACAAATAGCATGTGAGTAACAATATTTCGTTGTCATAATTCTCACACAATAACTTTTATGCACACCAACTATTTTTCACAATTTTAGTTTTTCTTCATTTTCCAACACCAATGAACTCATTTTTATGAATGCTATTATAGATTGGATGCAGTTTCGGTGAAACCGGAAGTGTCATATTTGGTTTGACACTAGTGAACTTATGAGAAAATTATACACTTATGAAATCAACTCGATGAACCAAATTTGAAACAACCATACAAAATAGCAAGGAAGATATACAGGGTGGTAAATTGGTTCCGGGTCACCCGGTACTTAAAAAGTAGCTGAAAAAATCACAATCGAATCAAATGGAAGTTACATAATTTATAGAATTCATTGGCAAACAAAACATCACATGGTATATTATATTATTTTCCTACTTGTACCACTGATTCATTTGTTATACTTTCTCCATTATCTTCTTTTTTCTCATCAACAAATTCATTGTCCATGGTTTTCTTGAACTTGTTCACGTCTGCAAAAAAAAGATATGAGTAGATGATTTTGCAATTGCCGATCATTCGAGAAGACCTTACCATATTTAGATATGTCCCCTCCCAATAATCTCAACAAATGTACTGTACTGTGTCTGTCCATATAACACCTCAAAGAGGTAGTGCCTCTCCAACCGCTGATATGTATCATGAGAGGATTAACAGTATCTTCTTTATATATCAGTACACAACTACCAGGACCTACAAAAAATTACATTGGATATAACTGAAATGAGCCACTAGGAGGCATCATACAGGATGTTAAAAAATACGAAAATTTTGTCTTTCAGATGGACAACTTTTGATGCAACAAGCATTGCAAAACTGTTATCATTGCCTGAGAGGTGTCATTCCCCAAGTAATGCCTCATTGAAAGGGGCTTTCATTTCTCGATACATTGCTGCTTAGTTATTGAAAATCGATCCACTCATTGATAGAAAATACAAAGCTTAAAATTAGCAACAATACGTTCAACGAAAAATTCAAACTCGAAATTAATTTTACTCATGAAGGTAAGGTTCAACTCAACTATCAACTGGCCTATCTAAAAGTGAAGCACAAACGCGATAATTAGTTACTCACTAAAACGAGTCCAAAGAGTGTGTAAAGCAGCAGGAACAACTATAAGAACTCTATTTGAATGAAATAAGTTTTAAATTAATTCAATTTTTTTCAATGTTCCTTCAAACCTATTGTTGGTTTATCCAATCTATTTTTTCTCAACTAGTAGACCGATTTTCGAAAACAATGGATAGAGACTCTGAAGGTTTTGTTATAGTTTTGGCGTCGAAAGTTGTCCCCTTGACAAACAAACTTTATCGAAATAGATTCACGTAACCAGTTAGAAAGGGGTCATTTTGTGTGACGATGGGATTTTGCGGGATGAACGAGCGAAGTACTTGGCATTGTTTCATTTAAAACTGGATTCTATTTTCAATTAAAAGATTTTTAGGTTGTATTGGATAATTATAGAGATTGGAGTATAAATAATGTTATTAATATTAACAAAAATAGAATTGTAGTGAGTGAGTATATGACTCATGAGATTCACGTCAAATGATGATTGTTTGACTTTCATAATGATAGTACTGATTTATTTTCCAGATTGTTTCTTCGTTTACGGCGTTTGAAGAGTGAGGACACGCTTGTCATCACCATTTCCAAATTGTCATCTTTCTCCGATTTGAAACGTCAGTTCTGAAAATTAAATAGGCGTCACCGCAAAAATGTTTTCGAATATGTATTGTTCGTTAACGAATTGCAGAACATACAAAGGTACAATTCCCTAGAATATTAAATTGTTTGGTCATATAGGTATCTTACTGGAATAAACATTTCAAATGGCTTTATGGTTTTCAAATATGAAGGATACATTATACACATTACTGCAATGAAAACAAGTATTTCCCGCTTTTTTATAGTTCGCAATTGTTTTTTAGAACAAGATTTTATGACAAACTTGCTATTTTAGAAACACAAAAAATATAAGATGGTTCACCTCAATTTGTATATCTGGGATTTGCAGGGAGTGTTCTTGTGAAGAATATATCAGCTGCATTTTCTTGGTTGATAAAAAGCAGCTTTTTTGAAATCAATTCAAGATAATCTCAGTTTCATTTCATTCTAGTACATATTTTTGTAGTTTATGTTGAAATTGACTATTCTTGCAAGGTATCAACTCACTTAAATCTTCTACTTGCTTCTGAACTGTCTCTGATAGGCTGACAATTGGTGGAGAATGTTGAGGGTCGTCATTCAATAATAGGGTTATTAGATCTTCCTTTGGAATAGTAACTTTTCGGTCATCTCCAATGAACGGATATATGCTTTCCAGCCCGTCATTCGCAATTCTGAAAATATTACATTTTGCACCGCATATTGTAAACTTATTTGAACGCTTTGTATAAATGAACAAGTTCGATTCATACAAAATGTTTTGATTGAATATAAAAAAAATATATTTTGCTAACACTAGAACAAATAACTTGAAATAAATGGAGGCAACTGGCAGTTCGCCATTGCTGAAAATCCTGTAGTCGGTTGTATAATCGTTTCCTATATTTTTTGGAGTGCTGAATCCTAATTTAGAGCTACCTATCCAATAATATTTCCTGGAGCGTTACTCAAAAAGTTCTCTCGAGATGAGTTATTTACTCAAACATTTCTCACCCGTTGCATATGAAATATCAAATTATATCCCATTTTGGGGGTAATTCAATAACATACGAGGTTGAGCCACTATACCGGCTGACCCGGAACCAATTTACCCCCCTGTATCTTCGTTGTTATTTTGTATGGATGTTTCAAATTCGGTACTTCGATTTGATTTTATGAATGTACAATTTAGCAAGTATCAATCCAAATATGTCACTTCCGGTTTGACCGGAAGCGCATCCAATTTTTATATTTCGAATAGGAAGTATTATTTTTTTTTTTTGAAAATTACAATTCGGTATAGAATTGCCTTCACAATGACATATCACAATCATACTTTCAATTCACAATCTGCTGGTATAATTGACATTTTATAAAAAAAAATACTTTTTGTGTTCCCCTCGTAACGGATCATTTTCATGAAAGTATGCTGTGGAAGATTGAATTATTGTTGCTTACATGATATTGTTCAATCTTCCACAGCATACTTTCATGAAAATATTCCGTTACGAGGGGAACACAAAAAGTATATTTTTTATAAAATGTCAATTATACCAGCAGATTGTGAATTGAAAGTATGATTGTGATATGTCATTGTAAAGGTAATTCTATACCGAATTGTAATTTGAAAGGAAAAAATACTTCCTATTTGAAATATAAAAATTGGATGCGCTTCCGGTCAAACCGGAAGTGACATATTTGTATTGATACTTGCTAACTTGTACATTCATAACATCAAATCGAAGTACCGAATTTGAAACATCCATACAAAATAACAACGAAGATACAGGGGGGTAAATTGGTTCCGGGTCACCCGGTATAAGAATAAGTTTGGCAAGATACGTGGGATAAAAAGTCGATTTTTGAAAAGTCTCATGATTCGATAAAGAATATCTTGAATATTTAAGACGATAGGAAAAATTGTCAACGGTAGGTAGGTAATAATTTTATTGAAAATAATATCATCAGCTTCAATTTTGTATCGATTGACTTCTTCATTATAACGCAACGTAGGATCAGGGACTTTTATAATATATGTTTTTCCACCACTAGCTATAGAACCTTATTTACTTATTTTCAAGGCGTAAAGTTTTTTTTTACTACCAAGGTAGTTTTCGTCATTTTATGAACTACTAGTCGATAAATTATTATATATATTATTATATTATTATCATATGACGGAAGTATGTCCGGAATAATAGCACCAAATAAATCGCCCATTCAATTGGTATAGATTGGCATTATTCTTATCTTGTTATCAAATCGCGAAATCGAGTGCAAATTTCCGCACAGGAAAGGGCAATTTTTCAATCATTTTGCTCAGGATAGTGATTGGCACAGGTGCCGCTCGATGAACTACAAACATGCCTTTGGGACATACAGTATGGTGGAAATGTATGGAATAAATTCATTATCTCTAACGCATATGAATTTGGAGGAAAAACCTGAGACAGGTCGATTTTTATTTTCAAATTGACACCTCTTGATATACATACGGAGTTTGTAACGTCATCCGCGTAGTTGTGGTGACGTCATCGGTTATTTTTTTAAATGGAAACATCCCCTTTCTGTTCAACCATATACTGATATTAGCGAAATAAAGTAATACAGGGTGAGAAAAAAATCATTATTTATTTTATATTTACATCGAAAACAATTACATTTAATGGAAAATTCGACCTGTATATATCAGAAACAATGTATATCGTCATTCACATTGTATCATTGCAGAAGGTCACCAATTCGAACATTTATTGTAACGGTTTCCGTTGTAAATATAAAATAATTAATAATTTTTTCTCACCCTGTATTACTTTATTTTGCTAATATCAGTATAGGGTTGGATAGACAATGAATATACCTTCCGAAAAAAAAAGAGTTATGTTTCCATTTAAAATAATAATCGATGACGTCAGCACAACTACGCGGATGACGTTACAAACTCCGTATGTATATCAGGAGGTGTCAATTTAAAAATAAAAATCGACCTGTCAGGATTTTTCTACAAATTCATATGCGTTAGAGATAATGAATTTATTCCATACATTTCCACCATACTGTATATCATTTCGTTATCAGATGACGGTCGAAATTTGCAGCCGGCTCTTGGACTATATCGAAATTTCAACTAATTCCATGTCAAATAGCTGTCAGCCGTTATTTCGCTGCGATGGTAATGATCATCTGAATTTATCAAAACCATATCTACCAAGAGTTTCACAGTTACAGTGACAACAATGATGTGATACTTCCCGGCCAAAGAAAAAGCGTCCGGGATATGAGCACATCCGGGACGGTTGCCGATAATAGTAATTTTCCTAACGAGTGCGGAAAGTGATTCTTTCCCGCACGTGACTGCCGTTGACACGAACGACGCGAAGCGGAGTTCGGGCAAGCAGTCGAGTGCGGGAAAGAAACTTTCCGCATGAGTTAGGAACAATATTTTTTTTACAAGCGTAGGAAATTGATTGAATCGTTCAATTAATTATTCAAGCAAATAGGAACAACTAACAAGAGATATATATATACTCTATCTATTAATTATTAGTAATAGCTATTGTGAACTTACAGTTTGACGCATTATGTTGGTTCATTGCGGAAGCCATCAGGCCCATTAGGAGTTTGGTCTCTAGGTTCCAGACACTTCTATGAAATGAGCCAAAAATACCTATTCTTCATTCGGTTTTTTCATTTCTTTATTGTTGCACCATTCAATAAAACGCGTGTATAGTTTCTCATACCTTTCTTAAGACTTCGTTGGTGATAACGCATCTGTATCAAATCCCTATAGCTAGAAGTTTTTGATCACATTGTGGCTTTTCGACTGAATCGAAAATGACAGTAACGCTGTGTCTGTCACTTCGACAATTTCAAATTTATTTGAGGTTTGATTGGCATGACAAATTGACGTTTCCCGTCAGATCAATCCAAATCTATAGGGGGATTTTTAAAATGATCAATTTTTATTTCTCAATATTTCTCAATTTTTACAATAAATAGTGCAATTTGATGGATGATTCTGAACATACATACGTAATACTGCAACAAACAAACTTAAACTTTTATATTCCATCACCAACCACTTATATTACTAGCGATTTTATCATATCTTTGTTTTCCCGCACTGTTGCGGGAAAATGACACTTCCCAAACTAAATTGCGTGCGGGTATAGGGTGAATCACGCACGCTTGTAGAACATTTCCCGTTTATGTTCGCTACACTAGAGTGCTAGGCACTAAGATCTGATCTTTAATGCTTTTTATGCACTAGCGGACCGTAAAGTGCACGTTACCGCCCGGTTTAGCGGGCGTTAAGTTGCACTTGGGCTCATTATGGCCCACGGGCCGTAAAGTGCACTTTACCGCCCGCTGTTCTCAGTTTACTGATATCCACATATCAATTCATGAAAAACCTATGATCATTCTCCTAGATTCTAATATATCCAGCGGTATATCATAAAATTCTTCTTTATCCGATCCATAGTCTCGCTATTATTATTATCACTGATTTTTACTTTTCAGTCAAAAAATGATAATTCAGCTCGTTTATTGGATGTATGGCTATCACTGCTATAGACAACAACCATCAGCTTGCTTGACAACGTCAAAATTAGGTATATATACTGGGTATGCATATTGTGAAATTCTAAAGAATGAAACTTTTCTGGAGATCAAAGAGTTTTACTTTTACGGTAACTGCAATATTCGTACGATAATTTGTATATCTAAATTATCCATGAACATTACGTTTCTCTTAATTACTGAATGTATACGTAACGAATTAAATTCGGGGGAATATTAGTTTATCGGAATCTATAGTCATTACTACTATATTACTCAAGCCCGAAAATAAACCACTAGTGCATAAAATCGTGTATGTATCACGTGCTTGAAATGCTTTTATGGCCTTCAGCGTGTAATGGCCCTCGGCTATCGCCATCGGGCCATTATTCACGCCACAGGCCATAAACGCCTACTTTACGCCCTTGATACATAAATAACTATTATAGCCGATTTAGAAGGGGACATGAGTCCCACTTGATTCAATAAATAAATAAATAACCAAATAAATAGCTATAAATACATAATTGTCAATCGTTCATATACGTATCTGAATATATTATTACTGATTGATGAAATTTCCAAAAATTATTGTTTTACCTCCTATTTATATTACAAAAATGAGAAGACATTTTCTAGTTATGCTCGGTAATTATATGGTTATATCAAGGGGTTTTCAAAGTTTTCATCTATCTATCTACTTGGATATTTCCACTATTTTTGGGTACCTACCCTTATCCTTTAAAAATATGTCTGCACTTGTTCAATTGAGAGATACAGAACAACTCATTCCATCTCTTATGAAAACAATTCGTGCATCATATCATTCTTTCAGATGTTTCAAGACATGACGAGTGTGTACTGTGTACTCACTCTCTAAAAAGCGTAAAACGGCACATTTTCTAGGCACTTTACCCCCGACCAATTGAGCGTTCATTGGCATGGACTATTATAGAATAAGTTAAAAATCATAGTGGACTGTGGTTTCCAAAAAGAGTTTGTTAATCGAACAATGTTAAGAATCTTGGGTTGCTATAGCTATGCTCTAAGCTATATGCTACATGCTCTTAAATGTGAGAAATAAAAAGAGGAATATTAGTACAGACTGAAGCAATGTTTTACCTGAAAGCACATTTCATATTTTTATTGTCACATCTCACAAATGCCTTGACTCCGGTATTTATGAACTTAATCGTACCCTGGTTTGTCACAACTAAGTCTCTCACTGCTTCAGACGTCAAATAAATATTCTTTTTCTTGCCCACATGACATCTGGTTAGCAAACATTTTGAATCAAATGGGTCAGCAACTTTGTAGAACGTCTTTATATCAGTCCAAACTGGTTCTTCTTCTTTGAAAAATACAAAAGGGTCTTCTCGGTATCCATCTTTCCTCGGTTTTTTTCTTTGGCTGTTCGAGGAATTACTCTCAATTTCACGTTTTTTGGTCTCATCACTTATGAGTGGTGTTTCTTTGCAGTTTAGTAATTTCACCTTTTTCAGAACAGCTACGAAAAATGCACCAGTGTTTTGTTGATGAGGCAATATTCTAATGCTTAAAACAAAAAATTTAAATCTACTGACTATGTGAAAATGAAAGTAAAGAATTACAAAACGGGAGCAAACAAAATTATAAAAATGTCTTCCTATGGTAGTATGTATAATAAATTGAACCAAAAGCAATTTGTTCTGTCTAGATTGCCAGCTTGAAATGAAAAAGGAAGTATGTTTTTTTTTCGCAATTATATTCACAATTCCCTATGAAATAGTATATTGAAGTAAATAAAGAAAATGAAAATACGCGCGATACTTCACTTGCACTATTTCTTTTATTGGAACACTCAAGAAATCATAACTACTAGTATCATCATTACAAACGGTGGAAATAACTACTAAAATGGTTAATTGAACAAAGGGGTCGATTTAAAAACATTTTTGAATGTGCATGCATTCATGAAGGGAATTAGCAAGAATGGTGTAGCCATGAAGGCAATGGCAAGGCAAGGCAAAAAATATATCTCGAAGTATACGATCAGACATAGCCGCGAAACGTGAGACGTCATTAAGTGAGCAATTTGGAGTGGAATGCATAATGGACTTGACAATGATGAAAATTTGGACAGAAAGCTATGATTTGTCGGATATTCATACCTCGATTTTTTTTATTTCAGCAAATAATACAGATGCTATTAGATAACTCAATACTACCTACCTACCTATCTGAAAATTCGTTGTACTGAAATATTGCATTGCATATAATTAGTTGGATGGTTGATTTCTATTGGTGTATTATTCAAAATTGTAAGTGAAATTTTATTTTGTATTAAATTACAGTGCAGATATTCATGACATTAAGTTTCGAATCCCTTCCAGTAAAGTAACCTACTTTCAAGTTTATGTACTCACCTATATGTATATACGTACCTACCTCTACCTACCTAACATAGGGAAAGGAACAAATTTTGAATCAATCTAAATTGCTTACTTGATTCAATTTTCTATTGATTTTAGTACAAGCATCACTGCCTTGTTGTCAATAATATTAAGAAATGAGAACAGTGAAGTTATGCTCAGAATGAGGTATTTCAACTTGGCAACATTGTGTTACCGCCAGTTGCTTCATCTTTCTCTTGTTATCATAGTATTGCCACATTGGCAATTAAATTGTCCGGAAATGATAGTACTTGAGATATAGTAACACTGTTTGTTGATTATAACAATCAGTCAACAAAATCATAACATATCATAACTCACAGTAAACCATATGAAAAGCGTCTTACTGTTATAGATGACTGGTAAGGTAAAATTGAAACTAATGGAATATTTTGAAGTTCAGAGTAATTTGAATGTGATCAGCAGTGAATCACCAATTAACTAATCACCTACTACATAGTGATTTCGAATCATGGCATTTCTTGCACCATCTTGCACATGAGATCGATTCAAGAATTTCATAGAGACCTGGCGACAGCGGCATGCTTCCCAGACAATCAAATTGCAAGCAGACACTGACATCACAGTTCAATATCATTTGAATTCACAGGTATTGAAATAGCATTTTCAATCTGAAATAAAAGATGTGTTTTTCGATTTTGTCGATTATTTTTTTCACATGTCAAAATGTGACGTTTTCGCTATTACAACCAATAGCCATCCTATAAATAAACAAAACTATAAATAAAGAGTAAAGACTCAACTGCGTTAATTCTCTTAATCTTATAGGTTTTCATGATGATTGAATAAATATTAATTATCACTGGACTGAATAAAAACTATTCCTTTCATGAACAATAACATTCCTATAGGTGATAGTTCATAACTAGTTTGACTCACCTGCGTTAATTATCTTCTTATTCTTATATGTGTGATGATTGAATCAATAATGATTATTATTACTGGGCCGAATAAAAACTGTGTCTCATGAATATAAACAATAACATTCTTAGGTTATAGTTCAGTGATGACTAATGACACCAAATACTAGCGTCTATCGACAGGACCTAACAAATAATCAGTGCCAGCCAACTCTACAGAAGCGCTTCAAAATTCATTCAAAATGAACACAATAGAAGTATGTAGAATTACTTTGACTCGTGAAATGAGTCTTTTTTTCAAATCGGTGAAAAAGATAATCTTCCCAAATACAACTCGTCCCTCAAATTTTATCTGATAATTTTTTATTTTCATCACTCAGACTTTTTTATTTGTGGGAAAATCATTCGAACAAACCGAATTAGATGAAACTACTTGTCCTAAGGACTCGTGGTATTATGAATCGGATTGTTTTCACATTTTTGCCAAATAAAAAAGTTTTCCTGGAAAATTTAAAAAAATTATCGATAATATTTGAAGGACTCGTGATATTAGCTTCGATAAATATGTGGACAGGATAACGTTCCAGACTTCCCTTTATAACATTATAGCAAAAAGGGGTCAATTTTACGATACTGGACAGGCCAATTATTAATTTATTATTATCAAGTTTTTCATAGATGCACCGGGCAGTGGGTATTTATTTTTGAAAGTACTAGCCATTTGTGGTATTGGTGTCTTTTGTAGAAGATGTGAATTACAATTTACGCTTACTGATCACACCAACGAAGAAGGAAGCTCGACGTTTTACTGTTGCCGACAGTGATGCCATTAGCTTAAGTACAGACCGAGTTTCCTTATGGTAAGAAGAAGTGCGTTAATCAAGTGGTTGGTATTAATACCTATGGATCATGTTCCATGCAAATTGCACGCTATCTTCAATCGGATGATCCTGAGAAATACACGAGACATGTGTTTCGACGTAAATCTGCTACCATTATGGCATTTCCAACGACAAGTATGATGGAAATCGGTATCTGTGGCGACATGGAAACGTTGAAGAGTGTATTAGCCCTAAGAAGAATGTTTCAAACATTATTGGAGTGCCATTTTTTGAAGTGTAACCTCATTGACTTCCGCAATGTTATCAGTATTAATTTGAACAGCATTTCTTCTGATTTAAAGAACCGAAGTATTGATATTCCAAATAATACCAACTGAACTTTCCATATTCATTTGAAAAATCAAGATTGTTGAATATTTTCATGAAGGTTTTTGAACAAATGTTGGTGATATTTCATTAGACGTTACATGGCACTCCTGTCAGAAAGATAATTGAAACATTTTTGAAACGTTGACATTTTTCGGATCGTTGATATTGCCAAAACGCGCGTATTTCAATATTAACAGGATGAGGTGTTTTCCAAATAAGCAAAATAGAGTACAAAAAAAATAGTCCACTATATTTCCTAAGGTCCTAATGGACTCATATTATGGTGGATTCATACACGACTCAACTTGATCCTAACTTAAGAATTAGGAGGGCTTGGAGAATTAATATCTGAAATTATTACTTATTATTCAAGTTAGGACTGAGTTGAGTCATGCATAATTTCAAATTAATAATGCATTATTGTTCTTCAGTTGAGTATGTGAAAACTGACAAATTTGGCAATTCTCAATTTTAAAAAGAAACTCTGGATGAAAAAAGGATATATGCTATAAGCCTGTGAAAGTGATTCTCAATGATCTTAAGAAGCACGTTAATTTCATCTATTCCCAAAGAGATTCACAAGAGTCTCATTTCCATTTCCCTCTTGCTTGCAGCGTGCAGGTCTGAATAACGTGAACGTTATATCTATAAAATCCAAATATTCAAAATGGACTCTTCTCAACTTGTCTGATGCCTTTTTAAATTGATTTCTGTGAACTTGTTGAATTCTGAATTTTAAGTGAGTTTCGATAAAAATGTTCAATGTTGGAAATCTTGACAGAACAGTTTGCAATGATTCTTATTGACCATGGAAGATTTGGAAACTAAAATATTTTGTTCCTCTCTGTTTCGTCATATATCATATTTATTTTTACCATCTATTCAGATTATATTTTCCCCTATCTTCTGGTTTTGGTGGAAACATTTGCGGTCTAATAGTTGTACTCCATTTCTCATCGACATCATCAAATGTTTTATAGAATTCCAAATTTCGACTAGCCACTAACCAATCTTCCATACCAGGAGAGAATTTCAAGCCAGGTAGGTGACCTGAAACATCTACCAGTTCTAAGGCACCATCAGTTTCAGAAAGAATTCGATGAATGACAGCCTCATTTTCAATCGGATTGATAGAACATGTGGAATAGACGATTTTCCCTCCTACAGCAAGTAGTTCAGCACCTCTTCTCAGAATTCTAGTTTGAATGCTGAAAACATGTGAATTTTTGGAAATTATGAACGAGTAAGTACTTGAGTATAGATAGAAAATTACCCATGTAAGTTTATTCCATTTGCGGCAGTCCATTTCATCCATATGTCTGGATTTTTTCTCAAAGTTCCATCTCCGGAACAAGGTACGTCACACAATATCCTGTCAAACTGCACCTAAATAACAATTATTTATGGAACAAGTGTTTAGGGTGCATTGAAGTGACGCGAAAAAGATTTGTTCTCCAAGCGGCAGGGATAGTGGCTTTTTCCTGCGGCTTAACAGGCAGAAAATGTGTACTTTTACTGCCTAGGCAGTAAAAATGTGTTGCTATGCAACGTTCCAAGGAATTCTAATGAAATTAATAATCAAAATTGACACTGACATTGAGTGAACACAAAATGATGGAGTTTTTAATAAAAAAATTACACAAAATTGGTTTTATATCATTTGGAGAAAAAATTGTATGTTTCACACGGCAGCAAATGTAGATTGACTTTCTTGGCTGAATTCCTAGCCTCGCTACGCTCGGCTATGAACTATCAGCCGCGGCAGTCAATCTACTACTTTTCTACCTAGTAAAACTAATAACTATTTTCTCCAAGAGGCAGGGAAAGTGGCTTTTCTCTGATAATTAACAGGCAGGGAAAGTGTACTTTCTCTGCCTAGGCAGGAAACGTTTGTTGCTATGCAACGTTCCATGAAATTTGAATGTAATTGGTAATCAAAATAGACACTGACATTGGGTGAACACGAAATGATGGAGTTTTCAATAAAAAAATTACAAAAAATGGATTTGGAGAAAAAATTATATATTTTACACGGCAGTAAATGTAGATTTACTGCCTTGGCTGAATTCTTGAACTTCCGCGGCAGTCAATATACTCTTTTCCTGCGTAGTAAAACAAATAAATATTTCCCGTCACTCAACACAATAACTTCAAAATCGTTATTACTTTAATATTACCAATAATGTCAAATCTATTGACTCTAATAAAGTTGAAATTTGAATACAGGAAATTCAATGAAAATTCCTCCAATCGAGACTATTTCAAAAAATTGTTCAGGTATCCAAACAGATCTACAAAATTCTGCTATACAGAGTATTTTTTCTCAAATAAAAGTGGCATGTTACTGTTCCTATTTAGATTCGATAATAATGTGTTCTATAAGTAAAATATACCTACTACTAAGTATGGATATATTATACAAAGTGGCTCAAAAGCAATGACATTAGATAAACCTAAAAATTTTTCATAAACTGGTATTTTTTAAATGGAATTCCTTGTATTTTATTTTCCTAACTATCTCTCCTGACTTCAAATATATAGACTTTATTGAGGTTATATTTGTCAGTTCTCGAAAAATATAGATTTTTTCGTACAAATCTAAGGCAGCTGGAGAACGCCAAATGACAATGCTACGAACGCCAGACGACATTGCTGAGATTTCTAGTGTTCTGTAGCTGCCTTAGACTTATACGAAAAAAATTATATTCTTCGAGAACTGACAAAGAAAACTTCAATGAAAAGAGCTCTACCGATTAGGAAAATAAAATAAGGGGTGTTCCATTTAAAAAATACTAGCTCATGGAATGATTTTTGGGTTCATCCTAGTACTGAATTCTGAATGCCTATGAAAAATACTTAATTTTTGCCCATTCAAACGTTTTTGTGACACCAATATTAACTAAGATATCTATTAAGTACAATATAAATAATCGCCCTGAACATTTAAATCTGAAACACCCTGTATATTCAATTTAAGATTCTTGTACTTTTTTATATCCTTGTAAATATTTTCTCAGTAAAAATGTATCTGTCGATACAGGGGTGGTACATTATAGGCGGTACTGATGACCATAGAAAATGACCTTACCTGTTGTTTAGATCCATCGGGGGAAGTACTGAATAGATTTGGTAATACCGCACTATCGTGATTGATAACTGCCACACAAGGCGAATTCAACCTTTTGGCTTGATGCACCAACATATAGCAACGTTTATTATCAACATCGTTGGCGATCACATATCCCGAGGGAATAGGATCATCTTTATTGTGGAGAAGCTCCAGTAGTTGGGCAGTTTTGGATCCAGGCGCTGCGCACATATCTAATACCTAGCAAAATTCATCATTAATGGCTAAAAAATGAACCTGAGAGCACTCAAAAATGTAGCTCAGAAAAATTATTTCTCCTTTTACACAAAAATTCTGCTTTTCTTCTTGAATACCAGATCTTGTGAGTGCACATTGGTCTCCCTGGTAGTTTTGCAATTAGTATGTTTCAATCTTTTCGCAAAAGTACGTATTTTGGTGCGGCATACGCAAACTGGTTATGTGGACAAGAAGTTTCATTGAAAAAGTTTTTCTTGTAGTAGAACAACTTCATAATACCGGTTTTGAAAACTTCAACGATGAATAAAAAAAATTGTTAAATTTTTATCGCTACTTCGAAATTAGGAACCAACTCCCCAGAAGTAGAAACTTCTGGGGGTAGGAAGAGCGGGACCTACAGCATTCAGTGGTTTCCGGGTAGAGGTCATCAAGTTGTTTCCACGATGTTTCTGAATATACCTTATTTTTAGGAAGTTTAATATTAAAAATTTAGGGTGTTTCATACATATTGCTCAACTTAAAAGTTTTAATCTTCTCACGATGTTCTCTGAACATTACAGGATATCCCTTTTCGTGGGAACCAGAACAAAAAAAATTGAGGGTAAAAGTTCCTATCAAAGTATGTCCTAAAATGCATCCTACATGAAATACAGGGTGTCAAAAGTACTAAAAAAAATCGAGATTTATAATAATTTCTTCGGAACCCCTATAGGAAAAAAATTCAAACTTGATATATTATTCCAGATTAATCAAGGTAATCACTTGAAGTTTTCAGTATTGAATTTTATGAGCCAGTGGCGTAGTTACGGTCGAATGTCGCCACATTTTCTTTCATATGTTTCATAGATAGATGAAATGTCAAATTGGTGCATGGCATCAATTATGCTCATTAATACTCCACATAAAAGTCATATAATTCCACGTGCCCAAATGTAGAGGTTTCTCAGATATTTGCAACAAAACTAAAGATATGTCTCGAGGTAATATTGATACGTGTAATACGTGTTCAAGAAAAAATATTGTAATGCTCATTTTTTTTCATATATTCAACAATTAATATCTCAAACAGGATGCATTTAAAGACTTAGCTAGATATAAACTGTGCATCTTGAAATAATGTATATGGCATAAAAAATAAATTTGTCGATCTACTCCAGACTCACTCTTACTATGTTTCCAATGTTCTCAACATTCAAAAATATTCAGGAGGCTGAGAAATTTGCGGTCATGGCACGCAGCAATAAGTTGGGTCTCTAATCAATAACCTCAAAGCATATCATTAGTTTTTCGCAAATATCTCAGGAACCTCTACATTTACGCATGTGCAGCCTAACTGATATCATAAACCAATTTAACATGTCATCTACCTATGAAAAAACAATGAAAAAGTGGCGACACACGACCGTTACTACGCCACTGGTTAATGAAATTCAATACTGAAAACTCCAAGTAATTACGTTGATTATTCTGGAATAGTATATCAAGTTTGAATTCTTTTGGTACAGGGGTTCCGAAGAAATTAATATAAAACTCTTTTTTTGTATTTCACCCTGTATCTCAGAGAGCATTGTAGGACATACGTTGATGGGAACTTTTGACCTCAAACTGAGGTTAGGAATCCGTATACGAAGTTTGTCGATCTTATTCTGACTCACCCTGTATAAGCGTGTTCTTTAGTTTTAGAAACTACTATTCATTTTTTGTTTCTTATATTTTTTGTAACAACCGCCCCATAGTGAAAGTTGATAATTTACGCGCCTGTTGCCTTCCTTGAATGTTTGTAACCGTTTATCAGGCTCCCTTTCCGGAAAATTTATTTCATACGAGTACTTGGTGCAAAACACTACCGTCTCTCTTGATGTAAAAATCGCTCATACTGAAGATTCTGATCAGGATAATGAAACAAAACTATTAAGTATTTATGCTATTGTCACCCGTCCTCGATAAGTGTGCAAAGTTTCAATTTAATTCGATGTAAGAAGTTATTCAAAGGAATAAAAACGTACATTTGAAATTTTGGTCACTTTCGAAGATTCCGTTCATACAAACATACATACCAAGCTAATGAAAGCTTATTTGTTAGGTAGGTAACTACGAATTTGTATAAATAATGAGTATTCATCATCCTTGGATATCTTCTCAGAGGTTACTCAGGGATCTATTCTTGGACCGCTCATCTTCATCATCTATACTGCGGACATTCTTACTTCAGTTGAGTTTTGCAAAGTACAAGCCTATGCAGATGATACTCAACTTTATACACACATCGATATCGATGATTATATGAATGTGCAAATTCACATCAATCGGAATTTTGATACAATCAAGAATTAGTCGGAAAAACATGATCTACACCTCAATTCTGAGAAAACAACTTTGATGTGTTTTGGAACACATGCCAAACGAAATGCGCTCAGTGAAAACTTGCATGTTGATATTGGAGGTCATATTTTGAGCATTGTAGATTCAACGAAAAATTTAGGCATCCACATTGATACAGAGCTCAGATTTTCAGAACATGTCAAGAACTTGATGAAAAAAGCGTATTCATCACTAAAATTTTCATATTGTAACCGTCATATCATGAGTGTGAAATTAAGAACATGTTATGTGACTCACTAGTATTGAGTCACTTCAATTATTGTGATTTTTCATACGGCCCATGTCTACTTTCATTCGATAAAAATCGTATTCAAAAAGTCCAAAACTCAAATTTGTGAAATAATAACACAATGAAGTCATTGTGATGATAGATACGGAAATAAAATTGATGACATACAAAAGTACCTCATTGATTTATCGAACATAGTAAACCAAGAGCAATTTTGTGTTATATATAGCCGTAGAAAAAATATACTTCATTATCGTTGACTATCAAAATATGTACGTGTCACGAAGGCTCACACCATTTTTTTCGAAAAAACCGCCTGACAGACAGACAGGCAGACAAAAATAAGTTCAATATTTCTTTTAGGCTAGCTGGATTTGTAACCTACAGTTTTGCATAAAATTTTCTGTTGAAAATCGCTTTTCTATTCATAAAATTGTATGTCTAATTCATATAATATGGAATCCTACCTTATGATGAGGTTCTACATCTAAAACCAGCGGTGGAATCATACTGACTGTTTCTTGCCGAGATATGGTACCATGTTCAGTTTCGGAAATCAGGAAATTGTGTAACTTATAATAAGCTTCATATCTTCTTATGTCTTTTCTGGTCAATTCCATTTGCCAAGCCAATTTATTAGGATACCTATCAAACACTCGATTATCAATTATATCAACGATTTTCTGAAACATACCAAGGAAGAGGAAATATCTTTAGTGCCTTCTCATTTTCTTCGGTCTGATCCACACAATCTTTTATAAGTTGACCTTGAACAATTTCCAGCATTTTATGTGCAACTCCTTTGGATCCTGTTATTCGGAATGTTGCAGGTAAATCAGTTTTTAGGCTAGTTATAAATTCATCAAATTCCTCCTCTTTACAAACTCCAAGAGTCTAAAAATATGGAATAAAATTGCAAATACAAAACGATCTATTCTTGTAAAAACAGGGCCAAAAAATCGGTGCATAATACAGGGTTTCTATAAATGATCGTAGCATCGTAGTGGCTGTTGAAATAGTGCCACTCTCTGCTTACGTTGTTGACAATCGTTGAATTGACCGAATGAGTTATAGTTCGATCTCCATAACAGGAAAGCGGCACTATTTCAACGGTCACTACGATGCTACGATCATTTATAGAGACCCTGTAGTTATTTGACAAAACTTACATGAACGTTATAATATTTTAAATCGAAACTCGAACGATTTCGGCAACATTGCATCATTAGGAGAGATTTTCGTCGAAAATATGTACAAAAAATTGCATACGAGGCGATCATCTATAATTTTGTCATAGTACCTAACAGGCATTCCCAACACACAATAAAGAAATTCATAATGAATTGAAGAAGTGACCAACTGACTTTCAAACTTTTAGTTTCAAATAGGGATGCACCGAAGCAGGCGGAGCTTCGGTAGAAGCAGACAACAAGAAACTTCATTATTATCATAATTTTTACTGAAATAGAATATAAATAAATCATTATTAATTTTTCAAACACAATAAAAATTAAAATCCAGTATTATGAACAACACCACATAGAACTTCAATAGTCAGAATCCATCTTCGATAAAGTATTATGTGGAAATACCAATTACTCAGTGTTTCTGTGAGAATATTATTTCGTTCTAAACGAGTAACTGGTATCTAAATAAATTTTCTGTCCATTTCACTCAAAATCGGCAGTAACTTCAAATTTTCATTCCATCACATTTCTTATCAGTAGGTAATTGAAACTTTTCATTCACAATTCGTATAGCATTTCCATTTTGTTTTGGTCGAACACCGAATAGTTCACTTCGCTTCACGCAAATATGTGCCTGAATTTTACTGTCCATGTGAACATCATATTATATTATTTATATTGAGAAAGAAAATCACCACACTTAAAAAAAATATGTTTATGTTTCAAATTATTAGGAGGCCTCTTTTTTTATTTTTAAATGTATTTTTAGGGGACATTTTATAATCGTCGTGTAAGCGAATTATATATCTTGTTTTTGGACGTTCTCGTGCCCTCAACATCCTGGGGGGGCTGCACGCCCTCCCCCCTCCCGTAGTTACTTCAATGATGAAATAATTTATCATTTATCATCATGGGAAAAAGGCTTGATTTCCTCCCATGTGTGACAGCGGAGAGCATGAAACTTCACAGGCGAGGAAATGGATAACTTTTCTTCCTCGATATACCGGGTGTTTCTCAAAAGTGGATCACCCCTTCAACTTTTTTGTGTCTACAGATGATCACATGAAATTCGCTGTGTGAGTATAGTACTTAAATATGCATTATTTCACTTATTCAATTGTTTCTCTACTTATTTTCTTGTTTTGAATGGGACACTCGGCGTATTTTTACTTATTTCGATAAAGGATAACATTGTGAGTACAACGACACCACTTTCGCAACTTTTAGAGATTTATCATCCTAAAATTTGTATTTTCAATGTTCAATCTAGAGTGCCATGAATGAGTTAAAACAATTGATTTTGAACCAAGTTGCCAAGGGAACATATTTTCAATGGAATTTTACTTTCCATTTGTTTCACAGATTGATTAAAAATTCTCAATATCGTAATAATATGATGCTAACTCATTTTTTTCAAATAGAACAAGGGTGGCTCATGGCCAAATCTGAGAAGAGTATTTTGTTACGAACACGTTGATACCACATAATCGATATTTTGAATCAATACTAGGTGGAAAATTGAAAAATGAGAATTTCAGAATGATAAATGTCAAAAAGTGGCAAATAGGGTGTCATCGTACTCACAATGTAATTCTTTATCGAAATAAGTAAAATTATACCGGGTATCCCATTTAAAATAAGAAGATAAGGGTCTTTTCCGTCTTAACCGGAAGTGACAGAAAACAATTAAATACGCCTATCAATGCATATTTACGAACTATACTTACACGACGAATTTCATTTGTTTATCTGTAGAAACAAAAAAGTTATAGGGGTGAGTCACTTTTGAGAAACACCCGGTATAAATAGGTAGCTATTGAAATGTCATTCTGGAAAATCCACGGCCCGTGGGCCGCATGGGACTTCCGAACAAGGATGACATCGAGCATTGATATACCGTTCTAGCAGACGCATCCCATCCTAGCTCATGTTCCTAGAATGTCTAATAACTTTGATATTCCCGGTATTCAATTCACGACTGGATCATTGAAAAAATAATTTTGGACCCGAAAACCATTGACACCATACAAATTCCAAGCCTCTCCAAACAGGTTCACATGAAAATGTCCAATATTGTCACTGCTCAACATATTGTCTCCTTGTACAGCAACACACAGCTGAAGTATCAAGGCGATGATTGAATATATTGTTACGATTTTACTCTGGTTCCACTCGAAATATCGTGAACAGGTCGATAATCTTCTCGAGTCATCTCAATAGCCGTCGATCCACTTCATTTCTATTCCAAGAAATACGGTTTATTTACTTCCGTAGCAGGTAGCTGGGATTGATCGCCAGAGTCGTAACAATATCCAGTGGGAATCCTTATGGTTGACGATTCGGTGGACGTACGAGTCACGATCTGCCACCAGAAATTAACCCATCGATTATCACAGCAGAAATGAGCAAATATGGGGAAGCACAATCGAGGGAAACCAGGGAAAATGGAGCAGCAGTGTGAAATTCACAAATGTTTACCAAGGCATTTTAACATGAAAATGAAGATCAGAGTCCCTACCCCATCCTTTGTGAAGATTGTCACATATTCCAACCAAGAACAAACTTTCCTGGTATGCAGTAGACCTCGTCATTTCGACGGATACATGAATTTGAATATACACTGTGTCCAAGATAAGGATGTCTATCATGGGGATCTCGGAAACCATAAGAGATACGAAGATGGTTGAATTAGAGAGAGAAAAGTTGCGCATTTGTGAGCCTAACAATATGACGTTTGAAAAATTTCAAAATGCCGAGTATTTCCGGAGATATGCCTGAAAAACCGAAATATACCGATTTCGTTTTTATTTTTTTCTGACGTTGTTTGAAGATTGATAGGAAAACGAGAGACACTTTCTCATTGCCACTTTTTGAGCTCTCCAAAAAAGCGTTGAGAGATTCACCGTACGACGTTTCCTTTCGGAGAAGCCATCATCAACTTTATTTTTTTATATGGCCCGTAAAAAAGGATACCCTGTATTGTATAGCATATTTTATTACAAATACAACGATGTATGACACATAATGAATCTGCAATATTTGAATCAGAAAAAATGGTTTTTATCATTATTTCGAACGTTGTGGTGTAGTAGGCGGTGAAATGACGGCGCTGAGAGAATGTCAAAATAATTTTATTGACATATTATTGACACATAGTGTTTTTGAACTTTGTTCTTGCTAGAGATTTTTTTCTGTTACAAAATGGAACGTGTTTTTTCACCTGAGGAAAAGTTTGATATGTTGAAATGTTATATCTTATGCCATAGCAAGGCATAGCAGTTAATGAGTAGGTTTATAAAGAATAAAACTGATTAACAATTAACAAGCATCTCACACAAATTAAATTGTCAAAATTGCTAATGAGGTCAATTTACATTGAATATATTTCATGTTAATTCAAAATAATGAGAAAATATGTGTTTCTATAGATGTATAGATGTATTGTTGAAATGTTTCATGTTACAATTGTTTAGATTCATATAAGTTTCTGAAATGGTTTACCATGGGTCCTGTCCATTCTTATCAAATTTTTGATCTGAAATCACCACAAAATTGAACCTATTTGTCATGTATGTATTGGTATAAAATCACAAGATTAACAAAAATTCAATCATTACACCAATAACAATCAAATTCCAACTCTTTTCAGATGCCACTAGAAGGAGAATATCAGAGATGGGACTGATGGGAGCCTGGTTCACACAGGCATCACAGGATTAAGTTTGAGCTGGGAGGCTGAGAATAATCAATTTTTTCTACATTAAATCTTCAGATACAGTATAATTTTATTTTTTCATCACCTTACCACATCTATGCTCATTGCTTTACATACTTTTGAATGGGTCTACCTACCAGAATCATATAGGACTATATTCTGCTAAATTGCAATGTCAATTGGGGTTCACTCATGATGAAACAAACATTGAACTATGGAATATGAAAGAGTTATTATTTCTATAATATTTCAAAGTTGAATGTTTGATGTTATGTCATTAGTGAGTTTATCAAAATATGATTCTAGTATGTTCCATAAGAGATGAATCTGAAATGTTTCCATATTATGTATGTAAGTGAGACATCTCAAGGAAGCTATAAAGGTTCTGGTTGTGAAATATTTCAACTGGTGAAGTAGTGTAATTTTCTTAAGACATTTCTTTGATAATGCTTCAGTTATTGTGTGAATGATATGGCCTTGGGCATAATAATCAAATGTAGCATCTCAATGTAACATTATACTCCCTAGGTCATTTATGGTCTGAAGATTGTCTCATAAATGTTTCAGAGTAAATAGGTGAAATGTTTCATATTCCATAGAATCATAAAGTTAGTTTCAAAAACGTTTCAGGAACACAAAATGGTTTACTGTATAAGTAACAGATCATCAGGATAAAGTTTTATCTGGAATTTTGTCCTTTCTAGGAATTACGAATTCAATGTTTTTATACCTACTATACTATACAATCACCTTATAATATTGAACAAACTTCTCATTTTCTTTAATAATATCACTGTATGGTTTTCGAGAGTCTTGTACCTCCTCAGTTCTTTGAGAATTTCCCTAAAACATGAGTTTTTAGAAGGTTTTCAGAAAGTTGGAATATGTAATATGAACCTTACCTTTTTTCTATTGAAATGGTGATCTTTTCGAAATCCAGCTTTCCTTCGTCCCATAATGTGATAAATAGAACTAAATAATTTGATGACTATGTTTGAAACAATATACCTCACCCTAAGACCTGAGGTTATTCGAAGGAGCAGAATCACTAATCAGGCAACAGACTGTGGTACATAGAGCAGAGAAAAACGTGAGGAAACCACTGAGGGCACTGAGGAAACCCGATTTGAAGAAAAACAAATGATAATAAAATATTTTAACCTCTAAATATCCTAAATTTCTTCTTCTCACGGCGTATCATTTTTCCTTACCAATGTGATATTGGCTGCCAAAGCTGGCTACTAAAATTTCCGACAGACCATACCAGTGGCATGCGGCCATTCCTTCATTCTACTTCTACTTTGATAGAAATTGCACCAATATACAATATACTTTTTTTTTTCATATTTCGCATCAGACTTCCATAATGATACATGGTAGGGAACATTACTGTTGAAGCCTAGAATCGTATGGTAGCAAAATAATTACTTCCAAACGGGTCCAGCGAATTGTACAGGGTGAATCAGCTTTTTTCAAAATCATTTATCTTACCATATTTCACATCAAACTTCCGTGATGAAATATGATAGGTGGTAGGATACGTTACTTTTGAAGCCCAGAACCGTGTGGTAGCGAAATAATTACTTCCAAATGGGTCCAGCGACTTGTACAAGGTGAATCAGCAATTTTCAAAATCATTTTTTTACCCATATTTCGCATCAGACTTCCGTGATGAAATATGATAGGTTATGTTTCTATTGAAGCCTAGAATTGTCAAAATAATTACTTCCAAACGGGTCCAGCGACTTGTACAGGGTGAATCAGCTTTTTTCAAAATATTTTTTTTCACCATGTTTCGCATCAGACTTCCGTGATGAAATATGGTAGGTTACGTTACTATTGAAGCCTAAAATCGTATGGTAGCGAAATTGTTATTACTTCCAAATCCAGCGACTTGTACAGGGTGAATCTGCTATTTTCTGAATAATTTTTTTCCATATTTCGCATCAGTCTTCCGTGATGAAATATGGTAGGTTACGTTACTTTTGAAGCCTAGAATCGTATGGTAGCGAAATAATCACTTCCGAACGGGTCCAGCGACTTGTACAGGGTAAATCAGCTTTTTTCAAAATCATTTTTTTTTACCATATTTCGCATCTTAGATTCCATCCAGAGAAGAGCCATTTGCCTGGTGGGTGATGCCACACTCACTCTTTGATATCATTGGAACACCGTAAAAAGGTCGGCGACCTTTCACTTTTCTATCGATACTTTCACGGGAAATGTTCTTCGGAAATATCTGCTAACTCTGCTAACATTCAGTCCATTGCCCTAATCGGCATCAACGCCGGTCCCACTTTGAGGATAGCTATGCTTCATATATGAGTAGTAGATATAAGGAATTTTGTAATTTAAATTGACAGTTGACACTATTAATTATTGTTTTGACTTTTGACGATTTTGGTGGCTGGAGCAGTGGAGCTGGACTGGAAGTAGGAACTAGGACTAGGAAGCACTAGCACTAGGAAGTAAACAAAACTCAAGGTCTTAGCAGCAGGTTTCAGTTGAAAAAAATTTGAAATATTTGCATTTTGCTTGCAAAATAGAAAATCATGGCAGTTTTTCAATATAATCCTAATATTGATTTCAATACTGTCAAGATCAGTAAATCTGATATTGAGGTAGGCATACCAGTACACACATGAACTTTTTCATAGGGTACTCTATTCTAGTCATAGGTTATTGATGAAGAACTTTTCATTTTATCATTTTAGAACTTGCTTCCCCATTGGAACACCAAAATAAATGAGGTGTATCAATACAAAACAAAGGATTGCTTTGAAATGAATATTAATGTGGCTGCTAAGACTGAAACTGAAGTGGAGCAATGGTTAGATGAATATCAAGAGAAATCAAAATGTTCCTATTCAATTCGTTCCAAGGATGGGTGTTCTGGAACCAAAGTGAATTTGAAACTGAGAATGAAGTGTCAGCATAATACAGGAAATAAAAATGTTTATGATCCAACAGTTAGGAAGAGAACAAGGAATAGGACAAGGAATAGTAATTGCCCTTCAATTATAACTATAACTTTAAGAAATGTACCTAAAAGGTACAGAGGAAAGGACAAGACCAAGGCACCAGATCCTGATAGGCCTTGTGAAATTAAAATAATTCCTTATCACAACCATTCAACTTCTAGTGCTGATATCTTACGCTTTAGGCAAGTGAGCAAAGAGACAAAAGAAAAATTGGTAAATCTGTTTGAATCTGGATATTCACCTTTCAATGCACTTGAATCTATCAAAATGGATATTCAATTGAAATATGATAATTATCATGAAATACTTGCTGACAGAAGCTTATGCCCTGATTATATGTACTGCTATCATTTGTATATTAAAATATTTAAAGAAAAATATAGGCCCTTGGGAGCATCCCAGGAATTTTTGAACCAAAAAATAGAGGAATTCAATCAAGACAACAACATGAAAAGTGCAGGGATCAAATTTGTGGATAATGACTATGTAATATGGTGAGTAAGTAGTAAGTAGGAGTTTACCCACTTTTTGTCCAACATTTTCATTACCTTGAATGTATTTTAGTTTGTGTCCACCATTTATGCAAAGGATTCATGAAACTGTTGAAGAATCATCAGATATGGTATTTATGGATTCAGTAGGAACAGCAGATAATGATGGCAGTAGAATATTTGTACTATTAACTAACAGTGAGTGTGGAGGCTTGCCTTTGGCTGTTTTCATGACCACATCAGAGTGTTGCCATTTAATTTCTATTGGGTTTCAACTGTTGAAAGAAATAATGGGCAATAGAGTGTTTCATGGTACTATAGATGGGCCTAATATTTTCATGACTGAAGATTCAGCTGCAGAACAAGCTGCAATTCAGTCTGAATGGCCAAAAAGCACACATTTGTTGAGTATATTTCATGTTTTAAAATCAATATGGAAGTGGCTGATTGAGACAAAAAATGGAATAAAACAAGACCACCAGCATATTTTCTATGAAGAATTTAGAAGCATAATATATGCTAAAAATGAAGAAGAATGCACAGCAGCTTTTCAGAGTGCTCTCACTAGTTCCAAGAATTATCCTGAATACCAATCATACCTACAAATGTACTGGGCTCAAAGGAACATTTGGGCCTTGTGTTACAGAAATGACACAAGACAAGGCCAAAATACAAATAATATTTCTGAAGCTGCTATGCGCTTACTGAAAGAAAAATTGTTTGATAAGATAAAAGCTTTCAATTTCATTCAAGTGGTTGATTTTATGATGACTAGATTTGTTTGCTATCATGAAAAGATACTTCTTGATGCTGCACACAATCAAATACCAGGAAATGTACTCAACAGCTTGATAAGCCAGCCTCCATCATCAGATGTAATTGCAAGTATGCAGCATTTAGGTGATAATATTCATCTGGTTCCTACTGATAAAGACCCAGATTTGTTTTATATTGTCAACTCTGAAGTTTTGATTTGCACATGCACCCATGGAAGAAGAAGTCAAATGCCAGGTCATATGTGTAAACATATAGATTGGATCTGTTGTTTTGTAAAATCAGATAAATTCATCAAACCCATTGATAATGAGAGATCAAGGAGACAGTATCTGTTTATTGCCACTGGCGATCAGCCCTCTTTGAACTGGCCAGAACTTCTACTATGTGGTAAAATTGGTAAGTCATCTTCATCAGATGGGTCATTTATTCAAATGGATGATTTCAAAATAATATTTCAGAAAATATTGAAACAATTGATGAATCATCCATGGATGAATTAGAGGAAGCAAATCAGGAGCAGTTTATTTTGAGAGGCCATGAGACTTTGAATGGAATGAATGAAATATTTTCTCAGTATTTACAACAGTCTCCAATGGAAGCTTCCCAGGCATTAGATGTGTTTTATGACCATTTGAAAAATATTAAAACCGTTTCTGGGTTTGCCACAGCATGTCACAACTTTTCTTCTGGTATGTATATTTTTAAGATAATTGAAATCAATCACTGAAACTATATCAATATTTATATTCAGGAACAATACAAAGGAATAATTCCAGAGAATGTAGACAAGATCAAAACACAGCAATTGGCAGAAGACTGTCTTATTATGGAAAAGAATCTGGAAATGTGATATTGTTGATAGAAAATAATGATAGAAAACTTGAATTCCCCCAAAAAAAATGTAAATAAAATGTTGAGAATACCTACCTTTGTATTTCCATAAATAATTCCAATTTGTCCTTAACATGGTGTAGCTTTGGGAAAAATCATATGTCAACAGCAGAGTTGTGTTCTGGTTTATCATTGAAATATACCTAGAAACGTTTCTACCGAGGACACTGAAGAGACCTGCTTGGTTTCAAGGTGAAATGGATGAAATAGTTATTTTTGTATCTAGAGCGCAAAATGCTACCTTGTCATTTTTCGACGTTTGTAGAAAAATTGTTTTTTCTTGGGAAGTGACACTTTTTTTTAGGTTCCTACGTTACCATGATACCTTGCACAAAACAATGCATGAAGTACAGGGTGATTCACCATAAATGTCCCCCCCTCTAGCACACTTATTTTTTAACCGATTTGAAAATTTGAAAAATCATCTAAAATGATTTTTCAGAAAAATTTTTCCCGTTGTATCAGAAAATACAGGGTGCTCGTAACAAACGATCTACAGAGTACTACTTGATTTTTTCAAATTGAACACCCTGTATTTCATTATATTTTTAGATCCTCCCTGAAGAGCTGATTTCATCAATGTATCACACTTGGGGTCTAGCGGGAATGATTACAGAGATATAGGGTGTTCAAAATCGAGATTTTTCAACTTAAGTATTTTTTTGTGTGGAAACTATTCATTATTGGTCAAAACGGCTTCAATGTCCCTATCTCAACTTTTGATTTACTATCTACTGACATTTAATTGGAATATATACGGTGTAGTTCAAGATTCAGAATTCTGATCGCCCTCTATTTGTCCCAATTATTAAATGTCAGAAGATAGTAAATCAAAAGTTAAGATACGAAAACATGAAAGCCGTTTTGACCTATAATGAATAGTTTCGTCACAGAAAAATCCTAAAGTTGAAAAATCTCGATTTTGAACACCCTATATTTCTGTAATCATTTTCGCTAAACCCCAAGTGTGATCCATTGATGGAATCAGCTCTACAGGGAGAATCTAAAAATACAATGAAAAATAGGGTGTTCCATTTAAAAAAGCGGAAAAAAACTCTATCGAAAATCATTTTAGATGATTTTTGAAATTTTGCAATCGGTTCAAAAGTAACTAATCTAGAGGGGGGGGACATTTATGGTGAATCACCCTGTATATACATACCTACGCGCATTGTTATGTAAAATATATGAGATATTTATATTTCAACTTTATGGTCCTCAATCCAGCAAACATCCAGGAAATCATTTATTTCTGAATGTTTAACAATAACTTTGTTTTATCTCTTGGAGCGCATGAAAGGAAATTTCTATTATCAGGAGGGGAGGCCAAGAACTTTGCTACGCTCTGTTTCTGAATAAAACTATCTAATCAATGCTATATGGGTTGGAACCAAAAAAATTTATATTGCGCCAGTGAATTGTAAAAGCCAGTCCAACTCACAGGCTGCTCCTGATATTGATGGAGAATTCCAAGTGATTGTACCAATGAGCGTTGAAATTTGAAATAATGACCAGAAAATAAATTAATGGTGTGGTGTGGTATGTAGACTACACATATCTCTCGAGTATAGGATATGTTGGTGGAATACAAAAACCTCTATTCAATGAATCAGTTACCTATAGTCACCTCAGTTAGTGGAAAAAATACATGCACGTTACCTATGCAAAATCCCTGGCAAGTACCAGACCAGGTAGATCTTCCGATGTCCCGTTGTGATCAAAAGGGGCTGACAAATGGATGTGGTCCTGAAAAATATATATTAATGGGCTCGAAATCAGTGTCTCTAATTACTATATTGATACAAGAATAGGACCATCAATATCATTTATTTTTATACGATTCTGAATATTCTCAGAATATTCAAAAAGAATATTCTCAGAAAATTCAAAAAGAATATTTTGAGAATATGTCAAATGTCTATGTTCATAGAATATTCGCTGCAGGATGAGAATATTCTATGATCATTCTGAGAACATATTCTATAAGAATATTCTAAAATGAGTATATTTGATCGTTGTGAGAATGTTCATAGAATATTCTGTGCTGTCTGGGTTGACCAGAATGTCGTTCCGGAGATTTTATCTAGTGGGGCGCAACAGTGGGTTGTGGTAACTTTTCCTCCCATTCTTGTTCCGTGCGAAGAGCTACTTTACACCTCAACAGCTTCTCATGATCTACAAAGCGCAGATACGGCCTGTTCTAGAATACTGTTCCCACATATGGGGTTCAGCACCAAAACATACGCTGATGCTCTTATAGATTCCATCCAGACAAGAGCCATCCGCCTGATGGTGGGTGACGCCACACTCACTCGCTCTTTGACATCATTGGAACACCGTAGAAAGGTCGGCGACCTTTCACTTTTCTATCGATATAGGTACTTCCACGGGAAATGTTCTTCGGAAATCTCTGCTATCATCCCTTCACTAGCAATACCAGTCAGACGAACTAGTCAACCTCGAAAGATGTCGAACAGCACTTTATCAAAACTCCTTCATCCATAGAACGGCTAGGCTCTGGAATTCATTGCCTGAGGAAGTATTCTCAACAACATATAATCGCCAGGAGTTCAAAAAAATACCTACCTCCTGTCCCTATCCTTCCTAGGAACGCACGATGTTCTTTGAACATTATAGGGATTTCCTTTCATGCGCTCCAAGCGCACCTTCAATCAACAGTTTTCGAGATATTCGACCCAAAATAGAAGATTGCATAGTAATTTTTCATCATTTTCAGTAGTAGAAAATTACAAAAATATGTTTCTGGTAAGTAGATTAGATACTTTTTAGATATCATTCTGTAGCTGAACAGAAATAGTTATATCATACTGAAACAAAGAACATACATTTTTGTAGTTTGCTATTAAAATGATGAAAAATTACTATGCCAACTTCTATTTCGGTTCAAATATCTCGAAAACTGTTCACTTCAACTCATTTGAAGGTGATGCATTTTTCGAACAGAATTGAACAATGAATTCGAGTAATTGAAAATAATCGAAATATCATCAGTGGCGTAGAAAATATCGGAGGAAAAGCTACCACAATAACCCATTGTAGCGCACCACTGGAGTAAATGTTCGGAATGAATTTCTGGTCAAAAAATTACCCATTTGAAGATGAAACCATATAACGAATTTGAATGCAAAATGTTTGGTCATTCATTAGTAATTGCGAAATAACTATTTTTATTTCTCAACTTCCACACCCTGTATTTCGAGAACTGAACACTTGAAGACCGTATGTCCCTATGTCAGTAACTATGAAATCACAAGGGCTATATCACCTGTCAAGCGTTGTCGGTCGAATTTCGAAACACCCTGTACAGAAAATTTTGTTTGCAAACTTCGGATTCAGATTCGGTACCCCCGAAAACCGCAGGGAAAACGACTACTTGAATTTTTTCCACGTGCAAATAGCATTCTATTCGATAAGTAGTTAAGTATAACTCGCAATTCACATAAATGAATAATATAATAAATTAAAAATATAAAATATTAATATCAGTGGTGTAGCTACAACATAGTTATTTGTGATTACCTACCTTCCAAGCTTCGAAAATCTTTTAATCTGGCTTTGCTGTACTGATGATGCAATGACACTGAAACGCATGCATCTGCAGCTGTTCCATTTTGAATTTGAGGGTTTGCTCTTCAATGTGTAAATGATTGTAGATGGGTCGTATAGGCTGGGAGACCTCTCGATCACTGCGACCTAGAAGATCTATTGTGATTACCCCTATCTAGTTTTGGTGTCCTATAACCCTAGACTTCTGATGAAGCCTACGATTTTCCTGACGCTTGAATTTTCCACTTCAGCAGGGGTGAGATAGACCTGTTATAGGTGGTTCAGCCTTTGGCGGACTAATACTTCACATGAGCAAAGTATGTGCTCCGCGCTTTCGGTCGCATTGTTACAAAAGCGGCAAGTGTCAGTCTCCGCCAGGCCCATCTTTTTGAGGTGGTACCTCAGAGGGCCGTGTCCTGTGAGAAAGCCTGTGATAAGCTTTAGCTCTGGTTTGCTGAGGCTGAGTAGCTCTTTGGCTCGGTTCTACAAATGGTTGATGAACCTTTTCGCTTGTCGTTGACCTGGAGTTGCTCTCCAGTAGGAGGACTTTTCAATTTCTTCCCATTTCCTGAGTTCTCCCTTTAGGTGACATTTGCTTATCCCACAAAAAGGCCCAGGACCAAAAAGTGCAGATGCTGCACCTTTTTTGCAAGGCGATCAGCTGCCTCATTTCCTTTGATTCCTTTATGCCCTGGAACCCACATAAGTGTGACTTTGTTGCCCTTTCCCAGTTGCATGAGTGTTTCAAAGCAGTCCCATGTAATCTTCGATGTGAAAACGAATGATTTTAGGGCTTTTAGTGCGGCTTGGCTGTCTGAGCAGATATATATGTTGGCACCCCTCAGGCCTTTGCTCAGGCACCTTTGGGCGCAAAGGTTGATGGCATGTATTTCAGCTTGAAAGATAGTGGGGGGAGTGACCTATAAGGCTTCAAATAGCCTACATCCAGGTCCATATATATACCCCGCGCCTACCCCTTCTTTCATTTTCGAACCATCATCGGTGTACCAAACAAGGGACCCTCTGTCCAGCTGAGGCTCAGCGGAACCGTACCTAGGGCGGCTTTTCATAACCACTTCAAAGGTATGATCGTGTCAATGATACTAATGTTGTTAATTATGCAAAGAACGTTCATTATTGATATTCCTGTAATATTCCGAGAATATTTCGAATATCATCGGCATGATCCTGGAATACCATGAGTAGGTACGTCCTATATTCTGAGTATGAATAGGTATATTTATAGGGAACACAGAGAGAATATTTCTGATGTGATGTTCCGCGAATATATTAGTTACTCCCCACATTTGTGTCTTAACGACGATTTGTATATCCCTGGCTTTCAAGAATATTCCAATGTTTCAATTCAAGGATATTCAAGGAATATAGAAAAATCAAGATATCTAGAATGAACGAAGAAACGGGCACTGGAATTCATCCTGGGGTAAACCAATTAAGTATGATTGTAATTCAAAATTCCGGTAATTGGTACTTGATATTTTAATAACTAAAATCTACAGTGTATGTTACAAAAAATATTGTATAATGTGCTTATAACTATGAACAATGCATTTTGAGTTTTTAACATAATTATAATTACTTCAAATAAAATACAGAAAATTCCTCAAAAATTTCTGCCATGTAAATGAACATTGTGTAAAAAATAGTTACATTTCTATATTGATTATTCTTTTTCAACTGCACAAAATGGAAAACACAAAAGTAAATACACTGTATACAGAGTGTAGCTAGAAAATTATGAATAATTTTCGTGTAAATTATAAACAAGTGCACACCCTGTATATAATCCATTTATCACAGGAATGTAGCGCAACCAAGATAAACGTAGATATTATCTGAAGCCATAATCACATGTTCAATACTAAAATGACAACACTTAATTTCTTATGACACATAAAAAGAGTATCAAGACTTTTTGGTTGTTCCTGAGCAGACAGATGAACCTATTTGATAATTGGAAGTTCAACATGATTGACTCCTTCCTAAAACAGGTCGAATATGTTCATATTCCTATAAAAATTTGTGCGTAATGAATAATTTCATGGCAGCAAAAAAGCATTCATAAACCACCAACAATTATATTAAGAGATTTGCATTCCTTGAAACTCTCAATGAAATTGTAATTCATTTTAATTTTGCTCAATTAATGTATGAATAACGAATTGGTGTTTACACCAAATATCTGTCTTATTCAATACATTTCAAAAATAATTCTTAATTCTGATTGATGAGAAACCATCAACTTGTTAAAAATGAAAAAGAATCACCTGTCTTGTTTTCGAAATACGGTCTCAAAAATACAGAGCTATAATTAACATCTGCATCAATAATACCTGGTGACCAGTTATAGTTTGACTAATTTGCAATGCTTTTATCTTCGAGATTATTCAAGATATTGACATGCTTCAAAGTTGTCTTTGACAAATTCAATTTTTGTTTTTCAACATTGTTTTCACATGAAATAAAAGGTGCGTTTTATTGGCAATATTCTTCTACCGGATCGACAGTTCCAGTCGTCTTATTGAACATTATTCTGAAACCAGTTCCAACTTTTCATTCCGTCTCATTAGACGGAATGACTGGAAGAAGATTATGGAAGAGGTGACAGAAATGGCGGTATATGTCAGGAAACGTGATTTGAATTTTTGAATTTGATGAATATTCGAAATCGAAAATAGGAAAGAAAACACTTGTAACGAAAAAAATGCCATTTAGTTCAAACGGATACTGGGGAATACCTATGGTTCAATAGTAGAATTGAGTAATATCCCAGAGTTCAAGATTTGACCCTCGCCTCACAAATTTTGATGACCGATTCTTTCAGCTGGCTAGCACGAATTTATCAGTACTGAAGTGTCAGCTGCTGCTGTAAATGAGGTAATACCTCATAATGCTGAAACAGGAGACACCTCATTCAATGATGAAACAGCAGATGAAGCATTGAAAGATAGTGACAATAATTTGAACCTGATGGAGAGGAAGAACATCTGGGATAGTAAACAGACGCTTTTGCTCATTGATATATGTGGGCACAATAAGGACCGATTAAACAATCCTAAATATAGAAAAACGGAAGTATACAAAGAAATATCTAATCAAATGAAAAAGAATGGACACTTCTTCTAAAGTGAACAATGTTTGAATAAAATGAGAACACTAACCACCAAGTACAAAGAGATACGAAATTTCAATGCCACTTCTGGAAACAATCCTAAAAAATGGGCGTATTTTGATATACTGACAGAGTACTTTGGAGACCGCCCAGGTATAGTAGCCAGAGCATCATGTTCAAGCTTGAATATAGCTCAAAATAATCATAATCTACCTGATCATAGCAGCCCATCAACATCCAATATACAGAAGAGAAAATCAGGATCTTGTGAAAGTGAAGAGAAGGGAAAGATGGTTAAGAAAACTCAGGAGATACAAAATCCAAGAAAACAAATGGTTGCTTGGCTTAAGGATTACAATAAAGAAGTGCAAGAAAGAGAGGAAAGGAGGCTAATGAGTATGGCTGAAAAGCAACATAATGAGAATATAGAGATGTTGTCATAAATTTTAGATTTCTTAAAAAAAATCTTCAGATGTTGATGCACCTGCACCAGAGTGATATCAAGAATATATATCAGAGACCTTTGGTACAACATTTATTCAATGTGAATATTCAGTGTACTTTTAAGTAATTCATTGATAATTATTTCTTGTTATATGAATAAATTAAAATATTTTCATTGTCGTCTAGTTTTATATAATTTTATCCCTCTACTTACTTTAATATTATCAACAAAATATCATATGATATCTTGCAATTGGGTATTAGAAATATTATGAAAATGCTATATCTTCATTCCATGTTGGAAAGCAATTTCCCACAAGTCGAAACTTTCATGGGGAGTTTGATATATTAAAATTATGCACTATCTCTGATAAACTGAAGAATGTGTTCTAGGATGGATATAGGGACCTACTGAAACTATCAGGTGACAAAAAGAATCATGATGTTCATGTGTCAACTTGACGGACCGACCCTGACAATCACAAAAAACGAATTGTCGTTCTATTGGCAATTCCTACTACTTTCACCAGTTGGAAACCAAGAATACGCACCTATACATGCCCTTTTTCAGGACTAGAGCTATTTATATACTCATTGAAAAACCAAAGAAATGTATACATAATTCAGAAAGCATGGTCTGTTTGCTTTCCAGAAATGTATTACAAGTCAGGTTTTTCCTGAGAAACTATTGAACACTACTGCATAGGAGCACTTGGTTAATATATATTCATTTTAATTTCAAAATTTTAACTTTACTTCAATGTCTGTGTGTGTTTTATTCTTAAATTATTTAAAGTCTTATTGCAGTTTTATATGTCTGCCTATACATGTCATTGTCCATTTGATTTATTTGTCAATATATATCATTATTACTGTTAATTAGGATTGTATTATTATCTTTATCACTATTATTTGTGTAATACTTATTTTGTGTGCTGCTTTGTTGATTTGTTCTATAACTCTTGTAAGTTCCAAAGGATTAATAAATTGATTGATTGATTGATAGGTGGGTGACCTCACATTAAATTCCTTCACAAATTGGGAAAGGACCCCGCACCGCAATAGGGGGGAAATTGGCTTTCGGTGAATTTCCTCGAATTTTGGATATATCATAGAGTTCGTGATGCTGATCAGATGTCCCAATTATCAACGCTCTTAATTCAATAGTTTGTATTATACAGGGTGCTGAAGTTGACTTTTTCAAAATTTCGAATGGCCATTGTGAAGTTTCCTTTTCGAATACCAAAATCAAATTGACTACGTTATGTTTGTCCATGTGGCCGGTGAAAATCCACTATAGAGTTCAATAATATCTGCACGTGCTCACGATATACAGAGTTGGTCCAAATGTTTCAATTATTTCCGAAATAGTGAGCGGTTGAAATCAATTCATTTTTGGACATTCCGTAGTATACTAATATCAACATCGATTCATGATGATTGCATTCTTTGAATCAGACTACATATTGTACACAAGATGTTCAAGTTTTCATGAAACCGCACCCGTCCTGATATTCCATCGAATGATTGGAATCCCGTAAAACTTGGTGAGGAAGTTGATAATTCGTGATGACAATATTTTATGAAAATACCTGAATTATAGAGGGTGGTTGAGAAAGTAGTAGTGGAGTTTTCTTGGAGTTGACGTACTCCAGAGCAATTGAGAAACAAGACAGAAATCCTGAGTACGTCAACTCCAAGAAAACTCCACTACTACTTTCTCAACCACCCTGTAAAATTCAGGTATCGCATGGAATATTGTCATCACGAATTATCAACTTCCTCACCAAGTATTACAGGATTCCAATCATTCAATGGATATGGATATCAGGACGGGTGCGGTTTCATGGAAACTTGAACATCTTGTGTATAATATATAGTCTGATACAAAAAATGCAATCATCATGAATCGATGTTGATATTAGTATACTACGGAATGTCTAAAAATGAATTGATTTCAACCGCTCACTTTTTCGGAAATAATTGGAACATTTGCTATTTTTGGACCCACTCTGTGTATCGTGAGTACGTGCAGATATCATTGAACTCTATAGTGGATTTTCACCGGCCACATGGACAAACAGAACGTAGTCGATTTGATTTTGGTATTCAAGAAGGAAACTTCACAATGGCCATCCGAAATTTTGAAAAAGTCAACTTCAGCACCCTGTATAATACAAACTATTGAATTTAGAGCGTTGATAATTGGGACATCTGATCAGCATCACGAGTTCTACGATATATCCAAAATTCGAGAAAATTCACCGAAAGCCAATTTCCCCCCTATCGCGGTGCGGGGTCCTTTGCATTGTTTACATATATAATTTATTTGATATTTTTTTGACATCTTCCACATCAAGAAATTGATAACATACATTTGTTATTTCTCACATTGTCAATTCACGAAAAAAACATATCTTGCAATACCTTTCAGAAGATCAAGAAGACCATGCATTCATGAGTATATAAAAATGTACAATGTGTTCTCATAAAATGATGGAGTTACTCTATACCAGAAGAAAGGCATGTTTTGTAGCGCACTTGGAAATTGTTATGAAAAAAGTAAATTCGTCCAAAAATATATCAAAATGGATTAGTACCTACAAACCACATTGATAGACAATATTTCGAGTGAATGAGAATATAAATGGTCACCGGGTATCAATAGTATAAAAATGATTTTGTTGCTGTATGAATCAATTGATTCTCAGGTAAATATTTTAGTATGGAATAAATATAATAAATATGTCAATTTCAAGATATACGAGTATATAAGATATGAAATCATAATTTTTTTTATGAAATTCAAAACATGCAGACATATCCTGCAATTTAAAATAATCTATAAGAATATCAATCGATGAAAATTTATACTAACAAGAAAATGGCGTAGGTAAGAATATTGAAGGGAAATTTAATGAACATGCAGAAGTGAAAATACCTCACATCTGTGAATAATAACAGGCATTCCACAATCCATATCTTGTTAGAATGAATTATCAAAGATTTGATTGAAATGTTTAAAAGATGTTTATAGTACCTGACGTTTGGAGTTTCATATGCAAAATGTATTCCCCCGATTTTTTTATACATTGAGTTACAATACAAGAAAAAACAAATTATTATAAAATTTGCATTGAGTGAAAAACGGTAAATTGATGCAAATATCATTCCAGACGCCCAAAGGCCACTACAATGTTGAAATAATTCATAAAAATCTTGTATAGTCGATAAAAAATCATAATAGAGCTTATCAGCTGAAAATTAGCCTGATCCATAAAAAAATTATTGATTGCTCACCATGCCAAAATGGAAACACATTTTGCATACCCAACTTATACAAGAATTATCGGGATCATCTGATGAATTAAAAACATCTAGTGATCTGGACATTCTTATCGAAAATCAGTGGAATCTGAAAGATGCTCCTAACTGGCTTATGCATTTATACCGGGTGACTACGGAAGTATTGCCTACGGAATATCTCAGTTATTATATGAAGTAGGTTTGTGAAATTTGGAGCGTCGATATAATGACATAAGAGCTAGAATTTGAGCATATTGACATGTCGGAGTTAACTTCCGGTCTGACCGGAAGTAACATCAACTTTTTTATTTTAAAAGGAAACCCTATTTTTTTTTCTTTTCGCTTTATTCAGCATTCAATTCCCTTTCTAATGATATATCACAAGTTGGAATCTAATCAAAAACTAGATCAGAAAAAAATTATTATTGAAATTTACCGAGTAGGCCGTGGAAGCAAAATGAAAGCCAAAAAATGACTTTCTATTATATCATTAGAAAGGAATGGTTATGATGAATAGTACAGGCAAGAAAAAGTTGTATGTTCCTATTTAAGTTTTGGACCTACAGAGTTATTGTTTTTTTACCAATTTTGCCAATATTTTTTTGGCGGCTTTTTATAACGCCGACGAATGAAAATAAAATATCACAGTAGTAGCAACTGTTATCAAGTGACGTATGGTTTCCATAGCCAACTTTTCAATTTTTGGCTTTCATTTTGCTTCCACGGCCTACTCGGTGAATTTCAATAATTTTTTTCTGATTTAGTTTCTGGTTAGATACCAACTTGTGATATGTCATTAGAAAGGGAATTGAATGCTGAATAAAGCGAAAACAAACAAAAATAGGGTTTCCATTTGAAATAAGAAAGTTGATGTTACTTCCGGTCAGACCGGAAGTTAACTTCGACATGTCAATATGCTCAAATTCTAGCTCTTATGTCATTATACCGACGCTCCAAATTTCACAAACCTACTTCATACAATAACTGAGATATTCCGTAGGCAATACTTCCGTAGCCACCCGGTATATCATAACTGTAGCAACTAGAGTACTGGAACTATGATGTGGCTAGAGAAGTATTCCTGAAAGTTGGTGCCAATTTGAATGTTTCCAAAAATATCTCTGGAACTAATTATTGTTCTCCGCACTATTTGACATTCGCATATCTTATGGATACCCTCCTTTTTTATGCCCTGCCTTTTTCATATTGAACAGACGAAAACTGTTTCAATCACAGAAAAAAGCAGGCGACTGTTTACGTGGTAAGGATGTTTGAGATAATTGTGCTAGTATGCAACAAAACGTTGAACGTCTGCCGATTTCAATAATTCGCTAGTTTATCGGGGATTTTCGGAACAGTGTCGATATACTAGCTTTCCCTTCTCAGGAATATTGTGATATACACTCACCGGCAAAAAAACCGGCCATCAAAAAAATTGCCAGAATTGTTCACCCTGTAACTTTTTTAATCCTTGCCCGATTCTTGTGTAATTTCAATCATATCGTAGATTCATGTTCCGGAATGTTAGCCTGAATATTAGTTTGAGTGAAAAGCTGATAACTTGATCTTTATACAGGGAAAAATCAAAGTCACTATTTCACCCTTAATTTCTCAACGCCCTGTGGCGAAATTGAGTGGTTGAACTTGGTTTCATTATGCTTCAGATTGAAGTGTGATCCTTTCTTAACACAATAGTTTTTTAATCACGTCGATATCATATTTTTAAGAGAAGATACTAGTGTTTTAGGAAAGTATGGCATTTTTCAAATTTCATTAACACTCATATCAACAATAATCAGAACCTTCATAACCTTATTGATTAACAACTTGAAGAAATAATATCACATATTTATACCTCATTTTCTTAGCACTTACAGAAAAAATCTTAATTACAAAAACAAACAAAAAGCAGAACTGTATATAGTCAATAACGAGGCATTCAACCGCCGTGGCATCGAGTTGATCAAATTTCTAAAGTAGTCTTGAATAATTGCCGAAAAATCTCCTTGACGGGCGAATCGTAGCTCTTGACATGGCCGGACTAAGGCGAATGAGCCTCTGGAGTTTATCCCCAAGATGCTATATAAGTTTCAAATTATTGTTGATAAAAATTTAAAAAATTCATACATTCTTAAAAGACTTGTATCTTCTTTCGAAAAGAAGATATAATGACTTGAATCTTGAACCATTGTGTTGGGAAGGGACGAAAAAGGATCACACTTCAATTCAAAACATTAGAATGCAGAAGGTTGGAGAATGGTTCTGAATTATTAATAAAAATAAAAATAAAACATTCTTTCTTAAAACACTCGTATCTTTTCTTAAAAAGTGGTTATCGAGGAAAATCGAAAACCATTGTGTTAAGAAGGGATCACACTTCTATCCAAAACATAATGAATCTCATTTTAACTACTCACCTTTGCCACAGGGCGTTACGAAGTTCAGGTGAAAGAGTCACTTTTGTTTTTCCCTGTATAGTGATCAAGCCATCAGCTTTTCTTAGGAACTTATATCCAGGCTAACATTCCGAAACATGTATATACGATTTGGTCGGAATTTCACCGAAATCGGACAAGAATTAAAAAAGTTACATGGCGAACAATTTGGCCAAATTTTTTGATGGCCGTTTTTTTTTGCCGGTGAGTGTAGTATTGACTGATTCTGCAGCAAACTATTGAAATAGCCTCAACAATAGTTATTTGTTTAACTAGGCAGCAAAGTAGTAGCTGGATTCCTAGCCTCGCTACGCTCGGCTATGAATTCAGCCTCGGCAGTCAATCTACTTTGCTGCTGAGTTGAACATATAATTTTTTCTCCGATTCATAATGATATATTGTATTTGCAAATTATTACAATTCCCACAATCTCTTTATTATTCCTGTAGTGTTCAATCCTCCGAAGTTCAATCAAAATAAAATTTGATAGAAATCGCAGTTGTTGGAATGGTTGGTTGCTATGGAAATGTCCATAATAATTATAGTTTGACAATTCATGAAATTTCTAACAGTTGTGCGAAAAAATATCGGTATAAATTTAAATTATTATATAATGGACAGTGAAAGCGACCTGGAAGTACTTACTCCTCCAGAAATAAGGGAGGTGGCAAAAAATATAGAGATGACTTTGTTGCCGGAGAAGTCTCGGATGAAATATGAAGGAAATTATAAACGATTTATGGATTTTTGCATGGAGAAAAATGCGAAGACTTTTTCGGAGAATGTATTACTTGCTTATTTTGCTGGATTATCTCAAACAATGAAGAGTTCTACCCTTTGGTCTGTATATTCCATGTTGAAGGCAACTATGAATGTTAAAAATGGCGTAGATATAGGAAAATACTTGAAGTTGCGGGCATATTTAAAACGGTCATCTGAAGGCTACAAGGCAAAGAAGTCCCGAGTTTTCGAAAAACAAGATATTACAAACTTTATACTGGATGCACCAGATGATGAATATTTATTAGCAAAAGTAACTTTTGAATCAGATATCTATACCATGGAGTGAAAATACTTTTTTAGGTTTTATTGATTTTTGGAATTGCGGGTGCATGTCGCTGCGACGAACTTTTGAATTTAAAGTTAGAAAATATTGAAGATATGAACAATAAACTATTGGTATCCCTATTAAACACGAAGACGAAGATTTCGAGGTCTTTCGTAATAATGGAATATTTGGATGTTGTTAGAAAATATATAGCTCTTCGGCCTGCTGAATTAAGACACAAGATTTTTTTTCAAATACGCAAAAGGTAAATCCATAAAGCAATTCGTTGGAATCCATAAATTTGGTAAAATACCTCAAGAAATAGCTGTCTATTTAAAGTTGCCGAATGCTAAGGAATATACGGGACACTGCCTCCGCAGAAGTTCTGCCACTTGTGACATAACAATGTTGAAGACATGGTGGGTGGAAATCCTCAACTATAGCAGAAGGGTACATTGAAGATTCAATGGCCAGTAAAACCAGCATTTGTGAGAAAGTTTTGACGAATATAGGAACTACTTATGAGAGGAATCATACTGGTAATATAATTAATGTAGAGAGAACGATATCTGAGGAAAGAAAAGGTGGCCTATTCGTTCAAAATTGTAGTAATTTTACCATCAATGTTAATAGCAACTAAACATATGTTTTTTTAATTCTTGTTAAAAGTGTAATGTAATAATTGCTAATAAATGTTTACGTCAAATGTTTTATTCTCATTGAGTATAATCACTTTGCTGCCTAGGCAGGAAAAGTAATACTTTGCTGATTGATATGTGTCAGCAAAATCAATATTTGCTGCCAATCGGAGAAAAATGTAATGTGCTTATGTTTTAACATATACTTCAACTTCTCCCCACCTTTATTCGCTGTGGTATGTGGTGCTGTATTGTGATCTACAAGTGTGATAAAAGGGTGGATATATGATCATGTGATCATTCGAACTTTATTTACTGGGACGACCCACTAGATAAGTCTTTCCATTCTTATAAAGTTTCACCTTGTATAAAGTTATTCATTACATTTTTTAGAAGCAATTTTGCAAGAAATTAGCCTTAATAATATGAATTGGAGCACTTAAAAAAGAGACTCTAGTTTCAGATGAATTTGAACTCATCTGTGAGATTATACGTATGATTATCCAGATAACCAGGTGTTTTTCTTATCCAGCTAAAAATCTCCAATAACGAATATGTCCGAACAGTACGAAATAGGTCAATAAAGTTGATAAAAAAAAGTACGGCATATCTATCTATTGTTATCTGATAAATAGATATCCACCTCCCTATCAATGGTAGTGCACCTCGATGGAGTTACGCAACCAATCGGCAGGGGGGTGGGCGTGACCTCAGTAGGCCGAGGCCTCCTTGTATTCTGAGCCCTCCATGGTGAAGAAATCCTCCAGTTTCCATTGGAGGGTCTCGAAGGTAGGTCGTCGCATCGGGTCTCTGTTCCAGCACTCGAGCATTATGTCGTATAGCGCCGGGGGGCAGCTGGGGGGCGCCGGCATCCTGTAGCCGTGTTCTACTTGGTGCAGGACCTCGGCGTTCGTCATACCTGGAAGAAACAAAGAACAAATTCGAATTTCATGCAGCGATAAATGGGGAAGTTTCCAATATTGAGGTTTTTATCTTTCTGTGAAGTTGGTATGAATTTAATATAAGTGTTAAACGGGTATTTCGCACTCAAACACACTTCTTGTAACAATTCTTTATTGCATCCAACTTTAATCAATTACCGAGTAATACTGCCTATTTATTCATCCTACTCCCTGCCTCCGAGTCATCGTTATATCCGTTAAACATCAGAAGTTGGGATAATCCATAGTGCCTTGAAGACTTATCGTGCCAAAATGAGCGATGAAGAACGTGATTCATACGAGAATTTGCTGAGCCAACATATTGAACGTAAAATCAATGCTGCACTGCGACAAATTAATGTCAGCGCGAAGAGCCCATGGTTGAAGCTGGTCGCGATTCGATCTCTCCAAGTGAGACCATTGCAAAAGGCGATATCATACCTTATTTTGATCCGGATGATCGCTCGTGTACTGTAGTTGGTTGGATCAATAAGATCGATCAATTAGGCACTATTCATGGTTGGACAGATTATGAAAAAAACAGTTTCATGCAAATGAAACTACGTGGAGCTTATAGAGAGTGGTTCAATAGATTAGAAGACTACGATAAAACTTGTACTGAATGGAAAACAGCGTTATCAAGAGCTTTCCCACGATGCACCGATTATGCAACGGTATTAGAAGAGCTTGTAGCACGAAAGAAACAACCCAACGAATCCATGACTCATTACTATTGTTACGACCCTGGCAATCGATCCCAGCTACCTGCGGGAATGTAAACAAGCCATATTTCTTGGAATAGTAATTAGGTGATTCGACGGCTATTGAGATGACTCGAGAAGATTATCGACCTGTTCACGATATTTCGAGTGGAATCTAGACGTTTTATTAGGTTATATAAATAGATGTTGTTAGGGACAGGAAGTGAAGTCTTTATTTGGAAGCGTTATAATAACGATCGAAGAAGTGTTGTGAATCGGAAGTGTTTAGTACGAGTATTGTAATTATTGTATAGTAGTGTTCAGAATAAATCGTTTTAAGTGTTATACCGAGTGTTAAGTTATTACGGACCCAGAGTAAAATCGTAACAGTGGTGTCAGAAGTGTGGATTTTTCGAGGACATTTGAAGACGTATGGTGAATACAAGGAGTACGTCATACGACGCGATGGAAGACATTTTGAAATTTATGCAAAATCAGTTCGCGGAACAAGAGGAACGACGACAGAAAGAAAAACAGGAGGAGGAGAAACGTCGTCAAGAGGAAAAATTAGAAGAAGAGAAACGTCGTCATGAAGAAAAATTAGAAGAAGAGAAACGTCGTCATGAAGAAAAATTAGAAGAAGAGCAACGTCGTCAAGAAGAGTTACAGAAAATTCTAGAGCATCAAGAAAAAGAACGAGAACATCAGAAAATCTTCTTCGAACAAATTCTGCATAAAACTGATGTGCAAATAGATGAGTTGAAGACAGATTTCACCAAAATTGACGACAAGCTTAACCAGGAAGTTTCAAGAATAGATTCCATGTTCGATACAATCAAAAGAGATGTAGCGAATCAGATCGCCTCGCTACGAAGTCAAGATCGTCGTGACAGGGTTGCCACATCGGGTTCTTCCGTAAAACCACCAACTTTTGATGGACAGTCGCCTTGGTCTATGTATCGCCGACAATTTGAGGCTGCAGCAAGTGCAAATGGGTGGAGTGACGAGGAAAAAGCTACTGCACTCATTGTAGCTCTGAGAGGACCAGCTTTGGGGATGTTACAGTCGATCCCAGTGGAACAACAAAACCACTTCGGAGATTTAGTGGCTGCGCTAGAACTCAGGTATGGTGACCAACATCGAGAACAGCTTTACCGGGCTCAGATGAAAAATCGTGTGCAGAAGTCTGGAGAGAGCCTACAGGAGTTCGAAGCAGATGTGAGAAGACTGACTCAATTAGCCTACCCAGAGGCACCAGAGGACTTCAAAGAACAACTGGCGGTGCAGGTATTCATCGACGGGCTGAGAGACTCAGAAATACAGAAGACTCTGAGGCTTACACACTTTAAGAGGAGTGGTGAAGCCCTAGTAAGATCTCTGGAGGTAGAAGCGGCCTTCAACACCTCTAGGCCAAAAGTGAGAGCTGTGTCCATCGAGGAGCCTTCCGAAGACGTGGACCCAGTGGCGAAAATGTTGAGAAAAGTGCTTGAGGAACTCAAAGAAATTAAGAGTGGGTCTAGTAACCAGCGAAATAGATCCTGCTATCGCTGTGGCAGAACTGGACACCTGATAAGGGACTGTAAGGTGAGAGTACCACCAAGATCTTCTTCACCTGCAAGGACGCCATCACGGTCGTACTCACCTGCGAGGACTAGGTCATCTAGTGAGTCCTCAGATAGATACCAGGAAAACTAGAACTAGCCAGCGTATCGGGGCGCATGCTGGCTAGTAATAACGAAGCCCCCAGGGTCATTAACATCAAAAGGATAAGAAGAACAACTGATAGCCTGACCATCAAAGGAAAAATCAACCAAATGGATGTAACCTGCACCATAGACACCGGTGCATCAGTTTCCCTGGTACGCAGTGACATTCTCCGGCCTGGAAGTATAAAACCAACCACTTCCAACTTTGTTCTTCGTACGGTCACTGGAGAAAATGCACCAATACGAGGGATGGCTGATATTGAGTTGACGCTTGGAAGACTCCATATAATGAACATGGTATACGTCGCAGATATCGAAGATGAGTTTATCCTCGGCATGGATCTGATAAGTGACTACGGGTTTTCATTCGACAGTGATCAGAAGACCATGAAATTTGGAGGAGAAGAGTTTGTACTAACGACACCAGCCGAGAGGGAGACGTCTGTGAGGCTACGACTAGCGAAGACTGTGAGAATTCCTGGATTCACTGAGAAGATCATCCATGCGCGATTAGAAGAGGACCCTGGGTGCTGCGTTGGATTAGTACAGTCATGTGAGGAATCCCCCAGCAAGCTGTTACTTGCCCGAGCTTTAGTGACCACCGAACGAGACATTCCTGTGAGGGTAGCAAATGTTTTACCTACCACCATAACAGTAAGGGAAGGAGATATTATCGGAGCTTGTGAACCAGTCAGTTGGGTAGCAAAATGTGATAAGACTAACGAGCAGAGATGGAGGGAACGAGATGACAGTGCATTGAAAGTTCTGGAAACCTCCTTGGACCACTTATCACCAACAGAATATAAAGCTGCCAAGAAATTCATAGCAGACGAAAGTGATATCTTTGAATCAACATCAACAGGGCGGACGAACTTGGTCAAGCACAGAATAGATACTGGTAAAGCTCACCCAATTCGGCAACCACCAAGAAGAATGCCATTTGCTAAGCAACAGGAGGTGGAACAGCTGGTTGACAAAATGATGAAGGATGGGGTAATTGAAGAATCATCCAGCCCTTGGTCTGCACCGGTTGTATTAGTGTCCAAGAAGGATGGATCCACAAGATTCTGTGTGGATTATAGGAAGCTCAATGACGTCACCAAGAAGGATAGCTACCCGTTACCAAGGATTGATGACACTTTGACTACATTGGCTGGCTCCCGATGGTTTTCGACACTGGACTTGAAGAGCGGATACTGGCAAGTGGGCATTCACGAAGAAGATAAGGAGAAGACTGCTTTTACGACTGGTAATGGACTGTACCAGTTTACTGTGATGCCTTTTGGACTATGTAATGCCCCAGCAACCTTCGAAAGGCTGATGGAATTGGTATTGCGTGGGCTCACTTGGAAAACTTGCCTGGTATATCTGGACGATGTTTTGGTCATGGGAAAGAATTTCGAGGAACACCTGAAGAACTTACGGGAAGTGTTCCAGCGATTCAGGAATGCCAACCTCAAACTGAACCTGAAGAAATGTTCACTATTCCAGAAACGAGTAGATTTCTTGGGCCACACGGTAACGTCAGAAGGAATACAAACTGACGAGACAAAGATTCAAGCCATTCGAGACTGGCCAAGACCGAAGGACAAACATGAAGTTAGAAGTTTCTTGGGATTGTGCACTTACTACCGTCGTTTTGTGGAAGGATTTGCTGATATTGCGGCACCACTCCATAGATTGACAGAAGATCGAGTCAACTTCAACTGGTCTGTAGAATGTGAGAAATCCTTCAAGAAATTGAAGGCTGGCCTCTGTTCGAGTCCTATTTTGGGGTTCCCACAAGAGAGAGGCTTGTTTATTTTGGACACAGACGCGAGTAACATCGGAATTGGAGCCGTGCTATCACAAGTACAGGATGGTCAAGAAAAGGTTATAGAATACTACAGCAAAGTGATGGCCAAACCAGAAAGGAATTATTGTGTCACCAGGAAAGAACTGCTGGCAATTGTTAAGGCTGTTGACCATTTCCACAAATACTTATACGGGAGAGAATTTCTCATTAGGACGGATCATGCAGCCTTGAGGTGGCTGATGGAGATGAAGAATCCTGAAGGTCAAATAGCAAGATGGCTGGAAAAGCTGAACCAGTATCACTTCAAGATTAAGCATCGCCCAGGAAAACTACACCAGAATGCAGATGCCATGTCCAGAAGACCTTGTTCGGAAACCTGTAAGCATTGTCTGCGCATTGAACATCGAGAAGGAACCGCTGATGTTAGAAAAACCAGACTTGTGACCGATGATAAGTGGACAGCAGCACACATGAGACGAGATCAGGAGAACGATCCGAATATCGCCGATTTTCTACGTTGGAAAGAAAGAGGAACAGAAAGACCGACATGGAAGGATATCTCGGATAGAGGGCCTGCTTTCAAGGCGATGTGGGCACAATGGGACTCACTAGTTGTGGAGAATGGATTATTGAAGCGAGTTTGGGAATCAGCTGATGGTAGATCAACAATTTCTCAGCTGGTTGTGCCCCACATCAGAGTTAATGAAGTTCTGGAAGAAGTCCATGGCGGAAAATCTGGTGGACATTTTGGAGTTAACAAGACACTGAGTAAAATTCGAGAAAGATTTTACTGGGTTCAATGTCGTGACGACGTGGAAAGTTGGTGTAGAAGATGTCCTGTATGCGAAGCCAGTAAAGGTCCCAGAACGAGATCAAGAGCTGGAATGAAGCAATACAATGTGGGTGCACCGTTTGAAAGGATCGCCATCGATGTAGCCGGACCATTCCCTTTGACTGATGATGGAAATAAATACATCTTGGTTGCTATGGACTACTTCAGTAAGTGGGTAGAAGCATACGGCATGCCAAACCAAGAAGCCTCCACAGTTGCCAGGATATTGGTCGACAACATGTTTTCACGGTTCGGAGTACCAATGGAATTACATTCTGATCAAGGGAGAAATTTTGAGTCGAACTTATTCAAAAAGGTCTGTGATCTAATGGGAATCAGTAAGACGAGAACAACTCCACTACATCCACAATCCGATGGCATGGTCGAAAGATTCAACCGAACTATGGAAGAACATCTTTCCAAAGTAGTCGAAGAGCATCAGAGGGACTGGGACAGGCATCTTCCCTTATTCCTGATGGCGTATAGAGCAGCTGTCCATGATTCAACGAAGCTAACTCCAGCTAGTATAGTCTTTGGAAGAGAACTCCGCTTACCTTGTGACTTGGTGTTCGGTTCACCAAGTGTTGAAGAAAAGGAAGTACAAGACTACGCAGATGAGCTCCGGAATGGCTTGATGAAAACTCATGAGACTGCTCGGAAAAGATTGAAATTAGCAAGTGACAAAATGAAGGCACGGTACGATCTCAAAGCCAATTCAGAGGGATTCTTTGAAGGAGATCGAGTTTGGCTGTATAATCCTCGACGGAAGAAAGGCGTATCACCCAAATTAACACCATCTTGGGAAGGACCGTATACGGTGTTGAAAAGGATCAACGATGTGGTCTATAGAATCCAACGCAGCCCTAGGACAAAGATGAAAGTCGTTCATCTTGAAAGACTGAAGCGCTACCATGGTGAGGAGAGTTCTGTTTTTGATCGGGACGATCAAATTTGAAGAAGGGGGTAAATGTTACGACCCTGGCAATCGATCCCAGCTACCTGCGGGAATGTAAACAAGCCATATTTCTTGGAATAGTAATTAGGTGATTCGACGGCTATTGAGATGACTCGAGAAGATTATCGACCTGTTCACGATATTTCGAGTGGAATCTAGACGTTTTATTAGGTTATATAAATAGATGTTGTTAGGGACAGGAAGTGAAGTCTTTATTTGGAAGCGTTATAATAACGATCGAAGAAGTGTTGTGAATCGGAAGTGTTTAGTACGAGTATTGTAATTATTGTATAGTAGTGTTCAGAATAAATCGTTTTAAGTGTTATACCGAGTGTTAAGTTATTACGGACCCAGAGTAAAATCGTAACACTATCATGCTAAGTTGTCGTTGACACAGCAGTGCCGTTTGGATAATGAAGCTACCATATCTTGTATTCTTAGAGCTACCAGTGTCCTGAGTCAAGCAGCAAGAAACCCCGACTAGAGGAATCACGACCGAAGCAGGTTGTCAAATGTTTTACTTGTGGAAAATTGGGGCACATGCCGAGAGATTGTCGGAAGAAAAATAATGTAGCTCCACTGTGCTATCATTGTCAAAGACCAGGCCACAAGAAAGATGAGTGCTTTTTCAGCAAAATACGTTACCAGAACGAAATACCCGTTTAACATAAGGGTGTCCCAAAAGTAAACGTCATCCTTCGGAGGACTGATAGTTCATCTCATGAGTGACCAGAATAACATATGGCCATATTTGTGAAATATTGATAGTTTTGGAGATATTGGCACTTTTATGAATTTCGTGAAAATCGAAGCCTTTGATCATAGCAGGTGGGGTGTGGGGGAAACCAAATGAGCAATTTTTAAAAATAACTTGCCAGATTCGCGATGTGATTTTGTTTACAGTATGCAGAGTCTAAGTAAGCTAATTTAAATGAATTTACTGGTGAATCGGGCAAACATGTGCTTTTTCTCCAAAGGTATTGCACCAATATTTTTATTTTGGATTGTAATCGATTGAAGGGTTATTACAAGTTGCATAACAAAAATTAGAATACACTACACACTGTTAAACACTAACCAAACCGATTTTTTACACCTCGACACGTGTTTCCGTAACTATGTTAGCATCTTCAAGAGAAGATTAAACTCCAGCCAACATTCATTAACAATTTTTGTTGTCATGGGTTCAAATGTTACGTTCCGTTTGGTCGCTGGAAAAATTAGGGCAAACTTATTTTGCTGTCATAATGGCAAAATCACAGTGGCTTATGGTATTTTTTATGTATGATTCGAAATGTTGTGTGCCAATTTTCGTTGCTTTTGTCGAGAGCAGGGCACGTGTTATTTTGACATTGTACATTTGAGGCCATTTTTATAGATCTCAATATATTTCTAGAAAAAAATATCAGATATCGGGGGCAGAAGAAATAGGTTAAATGAGAAAAGAAGTATAGCTTGATCCTACCTGTGACTAAATATATTTCTACATTCACTTGCATAAATTGATAGACGCGACTAGATTGAATAATATTATCTGAGGTTATATCCATTCAGCATTCTTACCTGGATAAGGTATTCTGCCATAGGTCACTAGTTCAGTAAGAAGGATGCCAAAGGACCAAACGTCAGACTTTATAGAGAATTTGCTATAGTTGGCAGCCTCAGGTGCAGTCCATTTTATGGGGAACCTTGCTCCCACTCTAGCCTCGTATTCATCTTCCTGAAAAATGAATAGAACTTTTTGAATTCGGTACTTTGGAATATTAGATAAATTACCAATAATATTTTCAGATAAAAATTGATTATTGACATGGGCGCCGCCAGGATAATATGCGGGGGGGGGGGAGGGATAGGACAAAATGTTGAAAATATTCATGAACCATGAGTAACGACTTGAACCACAAATTATATTCTAAAATAAAAATTGCAGTCTTCTTTTATCATTTTTGCGGAAGATATTGATTATAATTTTCGATATTTCATTCTCTGCAGTTTCTCTGTGGACGCTCAAACGACCTAATCCCGTCAGCCAAAGCACTACCAATTATTTCGATAATACAGTTGGTAAGAGATGTTATTAATAAAATTATGTCAATGGTCTGAGATATAGGCGAAAAGAATTCACATCCAAGTCAATGATTCCTCTCAAGAATTTTCGATATCATAGGTTCAAGCGATATTTTTATGGGGGCCATGTCATTTTTCTCTTCCATATTTTCGGGGTGTTAACACGATATCGAAAAAGCTGTTTGTGTATCTTTGAGAGAATCGGGTTTTCAGGAAAGATATCAGTGTCCATATGGAATGAAAATAGTTATTTTTGTATTAAGTGTGTGAAATGAGTGTTTTTCTCTCGAATGTGCCATAAAAACATGAATTTGAATCACGAAATACAAACAACATTTTTTTTACAACTGTGAATGTTAATTTACATCCTCTGACGTTTCGATAAGATATCGCACAATTTCACAGCTTCCAGTGGTCTTTCTGTGTCGTTACTATAGAAACAGTTTGTAAATTGTTCAAACTTTACTATCAATTATTATTTCAATAATTGAAATTGTTTTATGATGAATAATAAATTAATAATTGACTCTGTTGAGAATGGTTTTGGCAGTGAAAAAATGATTTTTTTCTGTGACGGGAAAAAAGTTTGGCATTTCATCTCTGTTGGCAGGTTATAAAATGTCACTTTTCAAAAATTACTTTTTCCCGGATATATATCACATATATATACACTGTTGATGGCTCTTGTTGTGCTATAGTTCCGAAAAATGAGTCAATAATACCGTCTCCGAGAAAGAACCTTTTATCTTCCATTCGACTTCGCGGTTACGTATATTACTAAACAACCACTAAATTCGCAATTTTTTGAAATCAAATCACAGAATTAGACTGACAGACTGACTATAGTTCCGAAAAATGAGTCAATAATACCGTCTCCGAGAAAGAACTGCAAGTCCTTTTATCATCTATTCTTCAGGTGAAAAAAATTACTTTTTTCACGGTGGAAACAGTAAACATTTACGCATCAATAGAGATGCAGAAATGTCAAGTATTTTTGACAGTTGTACAAAAAAGAAATTCTGAAGTAATCTTCAGCAGAAGTGTCTCAATATTTAGTTTTTTGGTGATATCTTGAAAACCAAGAGAGGTCAGATTTCTTTTCACTTTCAATTTGAGCAACATCATATATCTTGAGATAACCTAGATTCCCATGCTAGAGCTGGAATTACGGGCACCCTGCAGGATTGCTAATCAAATTATAAATCAGAATCAGTTGGCAATTGTTACCTTTATCAGCCTGGCTAGTCCGAAGTCTGCAATCTTCACGACATTTCCGTCAGCCACCAGCACATTCCTCGCAGCAAGATCCCTGTGAATGTAATTCTGAGATTCCAAGTAGGCCATGCCGGCCGCAATCTGCGCAGCCATGTCGATCAGCTGCGTCAGCTTGAGCCCTTTGCCCTTCCCTTGCAGAAACTCCAACAGCGAGCCGTTCCTCATCAGCTCCGTGATGATATAAATCGGCTCTTCCACCGTACAGACAGCGTACAGCTGGATGAGCTTCTGGTGCCGCAGCTTTTTCATGATTTGAGCCTCGGCGAGGAAATCTTTGGGGTCCATGGTGCCCGGTTTCAGGGTCTTGATCGCCACTGGGGTGGTGTTATTCCACATGCCCTCCCACACCTCTCCGAACTGTCCGTGGCCCAGTTTCCGGATGAACTTCAGGGAGGTTCGTTCGATTTCCCATTGGTCTCGGGTGCGATGCGACAAACCTTCAGGTTGCGGTTTCTCCACCTGAAATCGAAGTAGACGATACTCTAAATGTTCAATGAGAGTTGAAATCATGCAGAATGATGAAATTACCAGCTATTGACTACGTTTATGATTGATAGCAATATACTTCTCACTAAAACAGGAAATATGGATTCGACGAGAGGCTGGGTATTGAAGAACATACAAAATCAATTGGCGGATTTCAAGGTCATCATCTGACGTTTAACAATAGGGAAAACATTCCTAACTAATAATAATAATAATAATAATAATGTGTCTTTATTTTTCATCAATAAACAAAATTCATAGAGTATTATAAAGAGGAGGCGGCATTCAACATGGTTGCTCTTCCATACAACCCCCTAAGTATCCAACAAGTTGAAAGGCTATTTTCAATTAATTTAAGAAAATTAAATCACCTACTATTGAAATATTATACTATATAGGTACACATAGGGCACCAATTAAATATAACAACTGAATAAATCAATCAATGAAGATAATGGTAACAATAAAATAATGATGACAGTAATAATAATGATAATAACAATAATAATGATTCACTAATTAAGAATTGGGGTTTCTCATGGCAAGTATATAGGATTTGGCATATATTTTGAATGTATTGAGGGTCCGGGCAGATCTGACGTGGGCAGGTAGAGAATTGTATGTGTGAGTGGAAATATATGAAAAACACTTCTGAAATTGGGCAGTATTGTGCTTTGGAACGGTATAAAAGTCACGTGAACGTGTCAATCTGTCATGTATATCTGAACCTTTTGAAAGCTTTTTGAACAAATATGGAGGAACACATTCTTTATTTATTTTGAAAACCAGTGAACTCCTGGCATAGTTTGAAAGTTAGCTTTCTCTATTGCTAAATGTCATCGCAACGTCATCTAACGACCTTGAAAACCGCCAATATTGTTCACCTCCCAATTCGTGGTAGCCAAGGTCATCATCTGACCAACTACATGATCAACTACAGGAAAACATGTGTAACTTTCAATGTAAGCCAGAAGTTAGGAATATTTTTCCGTAGTTTTCATGTCATCACAACTTCAGATGATGGCTACCGAGGAATAGCCTAATCACTCAGGAAGCAATGAAGTTTCTTGTTTGATTAGAACATTTCAAGATGTGTAGCAAATTTCCACGAGTGAATTTCAAAAGGAGCATTGGTTAAAGACAAAGAGGTACTACGTAAAAATTGAATTATGACACAAAGAGGGTTGATTTGGGAAATTTATTGATGACAACTGAAACAAACTAAGGCTGATACCAAGCGTTCACATTACAAATACAGAATTTCATGCTTATTTTTACAGAGTTGATACTTTTTCAATGGATTGCCTACAACACTAGTTCCAGGTTTAATGTAAAATTTATCCGATGTTAGGTGTCTAGAATTTTTCCAGTATGTTGAGAACCGTGAAAAATATTTTGATGAAAATTATACGAAGAGAAACATTTTACGCATAGGAGGTTGCCTCGATCAGAAAACGTGGGAGACGAACTGTCTTCAAGTAGATTTATCAATTCAGTCGTGATCTAGAATTACGGACGGAATGTTATATGAGATAACTCACAAATTACTATTTACCCTCACAGTTTTCTGACCGAGGCAAGCTCCTTTGCAAATTATCAAATCAATTTTACGAACCTTGCTAAACTATAATATTGTTTTTGTGTTGATTATTTTGTGCATTTTTTGATTCGGACGTTATTTAATGGAAATCCATAGTGATGGAAGATTCGTAATAATTATTTCGCCGTCTGAAGAAGTAATCACTGTGCAGGTTAAAAATGTGTTTTAATAATTTCTTGAAATCGTATGTGACATTTTACCAATTATTAATCAAGGCTATGTTTAGCATATAACCTCATTTTGGGAATCATTTGAAGACTTGTTTACTTGAAATTCCTTCCAACAAAACAACGAATATTGGCCGTTTTCAGAGATCAGAATTTATCTCAACTCCATTATTCATTTTTACGTTACATTGCACTCAATGTAATTTCCATTCTGTGGATTCGGCATCGCTTGATGAAAGACTAATTTTGACTTGGTATTATATTTAGCCCCTATATACCATGTTTCAAAATCCAACAATTCGGAATAGTCTACATATTTCAAAAATGTCACTTTTAAACATATAAATGTTTTTTGCCACTTTCAATGGAGCTGAAATTGATTTTCAAAAAGAATTTCATTTTGAGCTGAAATTATATTTAATCAAATCATACAATTCATTAGCAAATGAGGTTTGAATAAAATTAATGAAACCCAATTGGTACCGTGGTACCCTGGCACCATCAATCAGAAGTCCCATTAATTTATTCATAATATTCCATTATGAAATGTGTGATGAATTCAATCGAAATTACACCTGATGGAAAAAATAATGAATCATCATTATAATTATCTAGGTACGTAAGGTGACTTTGATAGTTTGATAAAAAACTATGTATTAGTTATAGTTGTTCAAAATGCTGCCTGGTTTCCCATAGTGTTATATTAATTATAATAATTAGAGTAAATAGGAACGGCCATGCAGTCATATCAAAATATTGAAATTCTATGCTTTCTTTTGGTCTAAATATTAAGGAATCTACAGCTCATGGTGCTATGACAAAAATATTTTCACAAACCACTGGGTTGGGCTGAGTTGAATATTTCCCCAACATTTTTATAGCTCTACTATTTGGTCCAGATTATGAAAACCCAACACCCATAATAAAAAATCGTTTTTATCGACGCTACGTTGATCAGATGCACTATTTTCGAATAAAATCGACTCTAAACATAATATTGAGTAAAATAAATCATGCAGAAATAAACTTATTTCTTATATTTATGATATAATTATTTGAATCAGCAACAGAATAACCCAATACTCATTGTTATTAGAAATTGATTGGTCATTCATGATGTTTGAATCAATATTATAAGTCAATAATTTCTGTGAATAAACAGTACTGAATGTCATATTTTGAGGCGAATTTTGACAATTCACTCAAAGCTTGGATTCAAACAATAGGGGCGATATTAACTCAGCCCCATATCCTGTTTGATATAGACATCAGAATATTTCAGTGTTTCGTCGGAATACCCCTCGGAATACCCGGTCAAGGGTCTTTCAGATCCCATATATTAGATTTTTTATTGTAGAAGCTGTTGGTAGAATATGATCAGTGAAATTTGAAACACTCTGTATAAACCACAAAAAAATAGTGAAAAATTTGTTGCCTTTTTTAAAATGAACAATGTTGTGTCCCTTTCTGTTTCACTCAAGCTAAATGGAGTCAAGAATATTCAAATGGCTCTTATTACATAGATGTAATGGAATGTGTTATGTCAGAAAAAACAACGTACCTCAGGTACCTTACTCTGCACAAGAAAAAAAAGTCGAATTAATGAATGTATATAAAACAAAAAGAAATTCGCCAATAGCTGTCCAAACTCTGAATCGGTAATTTCAATTTTGAATTTTGTTATGAGACTTATTATTTGTAAGAAGATCCTTTTTCTATTTTCGTGCTTACCTGCACACACGGTTTGCACAAATTAACGCACAAACCATCTGCATCATTACTGTAATGTTGCACTAATTCTTGAAGGGTCCTAAAAGTAGTTCTTCGGGCTATGAAAAATCCACCTTCGTCTAATTGTCTTATTCTATAATGCTTCACGGTATCTCCATCACGAACTGAAATAAGACAATAATCCCAAGATATTTACAAATATATTCCTTTCTAAATTAAACATTTCAATTATCGATTGATTACGAGTTTGATATGAAGATCAGATTTGTTTGTAATTTGAGTTTACATAAGAACATGGTAACTATAGTAGCATCAGTTGAGTATTACTTCATTATTTTCAAATCAAAATATTCCAGGAATGGTATTCATTATTTAGTTTTATCAAGAGAACCTACTTAGTGTCAAATTAAATTATGTTCGAGTTCACATAATAATTTTAACTAAAAACTCTAACCTCAAAGAAGTTATGTTTAAAATTAACACTACCTCGATACGAAGCCAGTAAATAGCGCCCTCTAAGAGAGCCAGATATGAGAACAAATTCATGCGATGTGTCAGTTTCCAAAACTAATCTATAGAAATTTCATCACAATGCCAGTAGTTTCGACATATTCGTAAAAAATGTGTGAAAAAATAATGTTTTCAACACCTTGTGTCTTGAATACGGATGTCGTCAGGACATTGAGCAAATCTACCTACCCTAGCAAAAGGTCCTCGTTTTTTTTGAAACACCTTGTGTAAAAAAATTACTGACAATTAAGTTTGTCCCACAATTAACTTAGGAAATTGCTCTAGCGCTTCGATAGCAAAGTTGAAATTGACATAAAAAAGTAAATGACTATAATATTATAAAAATAACGTTGATTTGAACTGTCCATGTTATTGTAAAACTATTTCAAGAATTAGTGATATTTCTTGTATTGTAAAATATTCTCCAAATACAATTTTATATAAAAATAAATCAAATTCCATCGTAGAAGAAATGTTTTGTGCAACATGTGCAAATAGAATATTTTATGCACATTATTTGTTCCAATTGCAGCTCTTGACATTATCTCGAGCTGCAATCTTCATGGATCATGCAACAAACATACATATTTTGCACTATAGTTACACACACAATTATCAACCTTGAACTTATTAATCTGATGAAAAATTCACTAATGACCCTATTTTTCAGAATACTTTATTTTTTATATACGTTCAAGTAGATGAAATGTGATGTTCATAAGTCATGCATTCTCTCAAATTTCACATAATGACTACTTGAATCAATAATTTCTTTGACTATCTACCAGGATAATCTTTGGTAAAAGCTCATATTGCTCAAAGTGGAGTGAAATATTTCACAGGGTGGAAGGAATGCTCGAAGTCAACTCCACAAATTTTAATGATGTTGTTACCTAATCATAAGGGACATGTTTCGGTCTTATAAAAGAACATCTTCAGCCTAATTGAAAGGTTTGGAATGGAAAAAAATGTTTGATGCTACTGTTTCTTGAATTGTTGTCAATGCCCATAGCCAAGAATTCAAATGTTAATGAAAGAACGGGTTCTCAATAAATGAAGGGCCCCGTGCCCTGAGAGCGCATACTATTGTTTTTCTTGAACATTTCAGTTCCCCGTGCCCTTATGAAAGCGCTACTTGAAGAAAATATCATTAAAATTGATGAGGCAAACAGCCAGCATGTGTTTAAATCTGAACTTTTTATGTAACAACATCATTAAAATTTGTGGAGATGACTTCAAGCATTCCTTCCTCCCTGTGATCTTCCAGGATGCACAGACTATACATTTATCAGAGTTTTATTGTTCGAAGTAAATATATAAACGGGTGTGTGTATACAGCGAGTACAGTAAATAAATGACCGCCGAAATAATTACCTACATCTCATAAGATTTACCGGTAACATACTGAGTTTTTGCAAGTAATAATATTAAACTTTGATACTTCATATTATTATGTTCAAAAAGAGTTTACCTGATAGAGAATAATCATTATGTCTACTCTCAGAATCTCTGATGAGGAAGGCTCCGTGCTCATTTTCTGGAAGAAGCAGCTTCTTTTCAGCTTCTATGCGTTTTATTTTCCGAAAATACCATCTGTAATAAAGAAAATCGAGTTATTCAAATGTCATTTCATCGTTGGTGAGGTTATTTCAGCTATATTGGAGAATCTACAGAGGTTCAAAAAAAATCCAATACCTACCTCCTATCCCTATCCTCCCTAGGAACGCACGATGTTCTTTGAACATTATAGGGACTCCCTTTCGTGCGCTCCAAGCGATAAATAAATAAAAAATAAAATAAATGAGGAAAACATTTTTTCCGAAAAGTGTGAACAAATTATAGCCACAGTTAAAATAATTTTTATCCAAATGACATTAAAAGTGGATTTTTAATGACACTCCACAGGCAGAAAAGGTGTACTTTTACTGCCTAGGCACAAAAAGTTTGTTGCTATGCAACGTTTCAAGTAATTTGAATCAATTTGGTAATCAAAATGACTTAGGGTGAACAAAAAATGATGGATTATATGGACTTTGAAATTGAAAAGAATTTGGAGAAAAAATTATATTTTTCACATGGCAGAAAAGAAGATGTAATGCCTTGGCTGTTTTCCTAGCCTCGGCTACGCCTAGGCTATGAAACGCCAGCCGCGGTATTGAATTCTTGTACTTTTCTGCCTAGTAACACAAATAACTATTTTTTAACTGTGATGGTACTAAAAATACAAAATTCTTCAGCTATCGTTAACTGGATGACTATTTGCATTTCAATCAGAAATATTCAAGAATACACATGCACACGCTAACTAAAAGATCGCTCATTTTGAGATTTGGTGTATTTTCAAGAATTAACCATTCTACTTATTTTCACAGGTTGAACAAATATATGGTGCGTTTGATGTGCACGTGGCGGACATTCCTTGCTCGATGCGCTCCAACTTACTCTGGAAAGAGTATAATTACCTTACCAATCATTCTTGCAGTTATTGCTAGACGACAACAAACAATAAATAGGGGTTCCTCTATTCGAATAGAGGGATTCATGAGGTACAAATTAGACGTGGAGCGATTATTTCTTCTGAAGATTTATCACGACTTAGAGCACATAATTCAAATCGACGCAAAATATTCTAAACAGCCAAAATCAAATTATTGACACCCTGTAGCTCCCTGGTCATGGGATGGATCTGTAAATTGGACTGTGCAATAAAGACGCTAATATTTGAAACATATCAAATTTTCAGGAGAATTAGCCGAAAGCAATTTTCCGTACTAAATGTGCAGGGTCCTTTGAGCGATGACTGATTAACTAATTGGAATAACGATATGGTACTATCGATTCCGTATCAAATCTTTCGACAGGTGTACCTTATTTTTTGGTTGGTCTCATGTGTGCCACACGTTATGTGGCCTAATGTGATTATAGTTATAAGCATCTCACTGCTATCCAATTATTAGTTTCCCAGAAATACAAATTTGCTCTCATTCAAATTGATTTCTTAGAAGTTAGAAACAGATTGGAGGATTGCTGATGACATTCAAGATCGTCATGACTGTCAAAATCTAATTTCGATACAAGTTAAGATTATTCATTTCCCTATATTAAATTATTGCTTGACTTGACTACGAAAACGACCTAGCGATACGATATATGACCCAGTGTATTATCAATTGGCATATTGTCATGTAGGTATAGTATATTACTATCTGATTGTCGTAGATACATTATATCAACTACCTGCCATATCAACAACACACAATCGAAAATATTCGAATAGTGAACTTATCAAAATACGTTTTGTATTCTATTCAACGAATTCATTTCAACTATCAATTCCAATGAAATACTGTAAATATTTATCAATTCGAGTCACACAACAATTTTAATTGTTCATTAAAATTGCATTCGTACTCTTGTAGTTCTGATTCTTTTGCAACAATCGTACAAAAGTTGAAAGATATTAGCCAACCATATACATTAACTTGGGCTGTGATTTTTTTTTAGTTTCAACATTTCTTTGTACACATATTTTTTATTCGATTCATTCAGACCTTTTCTTCAAGTACCACTTCATATAAGTGAAGCATAATGTGTATGTTTTTTGAGATTAAAATCATAAATCGGATGTTTATTTGGGAGAAGGTACATGTAATCATAATCAAACAAACGTGAATCGACTTGATTAAAAACACATTGACGAAATCAGTCGAAATCAACATAATATATTCATCGATCAGTCTATTTTTTATATGATAGGTTATTTTTATTATGCTATTGTTCTATACAACTTTATTCCTCAAAAATACCAGGTATAATAGTTATTTATGCAAGAAGTGCAATAAACAATTTTTGCACGAGTTGCATACAACATTTTTTCTACATTCATGCAAAAAGCAAAAAATGATTTATTGAGGTGCGGCACTAGGTACAATTCTGTTAATTGTCAGAATTAATTTTTGACTGACGTTTCTATAACCACAGTTGCAATATAAAAAATGTTTGTCATGATGACAGCACGTTGAAGTAGAATGACAGATGAGTGCAATAAAAACTTTATTGCACTAAGTGCAAAACAGAACTTCTTTTTCCACTAAATATAGTTCAATAAAGTTCTGCTTTTTGCATGAATGAAGAAAAAAATTATTATTGTATGGTTTTTTTCTAATTAATTTCAACACCTTTAGGAGTTCAAATTACAAAAAAAATTAGTTAGAATAATTTGATCGAAACTGTAATCTTATGATTGTTTCACATCATAACTCATTATTGGTTGTAGAGACAGTGTACATAATACCTACCTTAATTTTCTACTATCATTATAAGTAACAGTATACTTAAGTACGCACATTTTAGGCGATTGAACAGATTTCACATTGATTGTTGAGTTATTCACCTACTCGATCATGCCTCAAATTTCTCTCTTATCAATAATATTTCAACAAATTCAGAAAATATAACAAAAAAATGTGGTTCTTCATCCACTATAAAATATCAATGGGAAGAAGCTATTCGGCACTGTATACAGTTTCATAAAATAGGTATTTATTATTGAATATTGAGAAGAATGAATGAGTGTAGTCGCAGGGGCTTCGTAATAATATGCGTTTTGTACTTGTTATGTAATATACATTTACTATCAGTGCGATTTGCATGAATAGGTATAATGTTCATGATGCAGATATTTATACAACAATAGTGAGTAGGTATAAGTACCTTTCTTTTGGCAACTGGCTAAGACCATGTAAGAAGACCTCTTCATCTGAACAACTTTCGTCTTCTGTATCACTATTATTACTATTTCTCGACTGCCACTTTCCAAGGGTCATAATAATAATATGAACAAAATAAATACAGCTCGCTGTTATACTTAGATAGGAAAAAACATGGAGATGCTTTATAAGAATCGGCAAAGATTTGAAATGATTGTTCCAATTGGTGCCTTTGTGATATCAAGATTAGATCGACAATATTGAATTTGATAATAGGTACCAACCTATATTCTGTAGTGTATCTGCTGAATGATAAACAATTACACACCAATCATGTTACTAACAATTGAAAATATTGCAGGTCCGTAGCCAGAGTGAATGTTTAGGGTAGGAAAAACAAATTTTGGCCAGGCTAAAACTTTACTGAACTCAAAAATTATTCTTTGCTAAACAAATATCACAAATATAATCCTGATTTAATCATTTAACAAGAAAAACACAAATTCTAAAAACAGCGAACTCTTAAATAAAAACAATTAATTTCAAAATAAAACAAATTCTGAAATAAAAATAAAGTCTAGATAAAATAAAGTCAAAATAGCTGCAGTCGTCGATTGTTTCGTTCACTGAATTTTCGCAGAAAAATGTTCATGCCTAGTGCTTTGGTGCGATGTCTTTCCAACGCAAGAAGAATTAAATTGTCCATTCTTTGTTGGCACATGGACAGGCGTTGTGTACGATTAATTCTTGTCAAAACAGAAAAAAATCATTTCAAACGTTGCTGTACACGTTATAAAGTACCACCCCTTATAACTTTATTAATTTTGACAGTAGAAAAAAAAGAAAAAAAAAACAGCCTTACAGGGTTTTTTCCCTCATCGAATCAACTATCTTTGGTATCCCAGAGGATATACAGGGAACAAGAAGAAGTGTAAAAATGTTAAATGGAACGCCCTATATATTTTCGCGCCATTAGATAGACCTTTCGAAGAGCTTTCCGAAAATACCCCACTCAATACATTTATCTTCAGTATTTCTCATAATATGGGCAGTCTAACCTATAAAAAAAGTGTTTATCGATCCTCAAATGATTATTGAGAGTATGCTGTGACAATGAATCTAGGTAACTAATATATCGTTATGATATTCAATACTCATTGACAGTAAGTAATCAATCAAAGTCAGAATTGTAATACATATTGATTTAATTTCCGGAAATTAACATTTTCTATCATTATTCAATCTATTCAACATCAATTTGCAAAAATTCATCAATCAATTTTTGTACCGTATGGAATTTATAAGGTCTGAATTTATATTTTTTCAAATTCTTATGTGGTCCGAAACATGCGCTTAAATCTTTTGCCGAAGTCCTCAATGAATTTTTCGGTTTCTTTATATGATTCAGTAAGATATTCAATTCATGATTCTCGTCATAGCTACATGTTCTTTTTTTTCGTTGTAAATTGGAAGTCCTCCTAAACTTTAAGTAAATGTTCTTGATGGTTCGCCTTCATGGAATATTACCATTCGGAAAACGCAATTCATAGCCACGTCTTACAACGGATGCGTTTTGATTATTTTCTATGAATAAAGTTTCTGTTGAAAAGGAATATTCTCAGATAAATTATGGACATACAAAAATGGATATATATTTATATAAAGCAATACATTGGGAATTCGCATTCTCTGTGATGAGAATATCTACTCTTTTTCAGTTTATTCAATAGAAAACAACTACTTTCCTGGCTATATGCCACGACGAACATTGAATTATATCTATTGAACACACGATAAGAGTTTGAAAATAAAATATAAAAAAACTTCTGAAATTGAGAATTTGCATTCTCCTTCAGACAAAAATATGTATATGAACACATCATT